CCTGGGTGGCTCAGTGGGTTAAACCTCTGCCCTTGGCTCAGGTCATGATCTCAGGGTCCTAGGATCGAGCCCTGCATCGGGTTCTCTGCTCAGCAGGGAGCCTGCTTCCCCGTCTCTCTCTGTCTGCCTCTCTGCCTACTTGTGATCTCTGTCTGTCAGATAAATAAAATATTAAAAAAAAAAAGATTGTGGGATAAAGTGTCTGAGAAGCAGGGCTTGGATGAGTAAGCGATTCCTATATGAATCTTGGAAAAGAGCATTGTTGGTACAGATAGTTAAGTCCAAATACATATGCCCAGTGTTGACAGCTAGAACGAGTAAAATCCATATGTCAGACGAAAGTGGAGATTTCCTCATATTGACATAGCTGTGACAAGCTTCACCAAACCTTGACCTTCTGTGAACACACCCACTAGCAAGAGCCATGAGTCACCTGCACCTTTCTGTGGGGTAGTTCTGGACACCATTACATAGCCCTGAAACTGCTTACAGGCACGTAAATTGTAGGTGCAGCTGCTTTCAATATGCAAGCCCAGCTGGGGTCTAGTGCTGGCCCTATTTCAGAAGCTAACCTGTGGGCATATGGAACCAGGCCCGTGTCTGCTAAAAATCTCACACGCTTTGCTATTATATGGTGAAAGTTTAATCTAAACCCCGAGAGCGGGTGCTTGGGTAATAGTCGTAGATGGTAAAAAAATTCGGGGTCTCTGTGTTTTATTTCCTGGGAAGCCTATGCAGTTCTCCCCTGTGCAGTATTTCAAATGGTTTTTAGTGGATTTTTTTGGTTTACAGATAACAACCTCTTTTACAAGATGGCCATTAAGAGCAATAAAAGCTTAGCCAGAACCTACCTCAGTTTTGCTTTGGATGCTCTGAATGGGATTTTAAGAAGAACCCAAAAAGAAAGGGAAAATATGTATATCCCTCAGGAGTATTTCTGCTTGTACCATGTCTTTTATGTTAACTAAAAAAGATATGTTTTGGGGAGCCTGGGTGGCTCAGTGGGTTAAGCCACTGCCTTCGGCTCAGGTCATGATCTCAGGGTCCTGAGATCGAGCCCTGCATTGGGCTCTCTGCTCAGCGGGGAGCCTGCTTCCTCCTCTCTCTGCCTGCCTCTCTGCCTGCTTGTGATCTCTGTCAAATAAATAAATAAAATCTTTAAAAAAAAAAAGATATGTTTTAAAGAAGGTAATCTCTGTGTATGGTAAAACAAATTTTCAATGGCAATAAAAAAGATATAACGTGCAAAATAAATGTTTCCCTTCTCATCTCCCATCCCAACCTAAACCCTAGTTCCTGTTCCCAAATGTTAACAGTTTTATGACTTTCTCTGAAAAGTTTTGTGTGTGCATACATGTTTTATGTATATGCTCTGACTTAAAAGTATACACAAATGAGATCGTACCAAATACACTGTTCTGCATTTTGGTTTCATTTAAAAATTTATCGCGGAGTTCTTTCCATACCCCTATACACAGACCTCTCTCGCCACTTTGGGGGCTGCATGGAACCCACTGCATAAACATTCAGTATGACAAACTATGTAAGCAATTCTCTACTGCGGGGTATTTGGGTTGTTTGGGGGTTTTCTCTCTAAAAAAAAATCTGCAGGGAATATCCTTGTTACAAACACTTTTGTATACTTAAAAAAGTATATCTCTCATAGTAGTCTCCTACAGGTACAATTTTAGGTCAAGTGTACAAGCACTTAAAGTTTTAGCCATATAACCAAGTGGCCCTCCAGTATGGTTAACTGGGATTGCCTTCCCACCGACAGTTATGGATACTTGCTTACCCACACACCTGCCAATTCTGGTGATACTAAATGTTCTCAAACATTTGTCCGTCTGGTGGGTCAAGAAGATCCCACTGCAGTTTTGATTTGCATTTCTTAAATTATAAGTAAAGCAGAGCATCTTTCCATTTGCTTATGGAGTATTTGTACTTGGTTTTCTTTGAATTGCCTGCTCATCATTCTTTGCCTATCTTTCTTTTGAGCTGGTGTCTTTTTCTGCTATGTATTTTTGTGTTCAGCAAATGTGGATTCCTACTATGTGGTAAGCACTGCGCCGGTCACTAGAGCTGTAATAGTGAGGAAACACCCATCAGAGCTTCCGGGGCTCCAAGAGACGGACATTAATCCAGTCATGCTCTGAGTGGATGTGTGTAGAGACTGAGTTAAGTCGCTTGGAGGAGAGGATTTTGCATGTCTTAGAGCACATTAAAGAAAGACAGCCCTGAACTGGGAGTTAGGGAAGACTTCCCTAAGGAGCTGTCATCTAAAGAACGAATACAGTTTGAGGTTCAGAGAAATACTTCTGGAAGAAAGGACGGTTTGTGGAGGGAACATGATGTAGTAGATGAGCGAAAAGAAGGCCAGGGAGCAGAGCACAAAGAGCAGAAAGGTGTGGGATGAATTTCCACTAACCCATTAAGGACTGGGGGTTTCTTCTCTTACAGAAATAGAAAGCTATTGAAGGGTGTTGAGCCAACAGATGAGGGTCAAACCTGCATTCCAAAGAGATTACTCTGGCTGAAAAGAAGGGAAATAGGTAGATCAGTTAGAAGGTTCTGAGTTATATGAGATCTGGTGGTGGTCTCGCCCTGGATTATGGCAGTGGACTTTATGAGAAATTGATGGGCTCAAGAAATATGGAGGAGGTCAAATAAAATTTGATGATTGGATTGGATAAATGGATAAGGAAAGGGGGGCCCAGGATAATTCCCCTATTTCTAATGAAGTGGATGGTAATACCACTTACTGACATAGGGGACACTGGAAGAGGTCAAGGTGAGGTCAGTCTTAGGCATCTACGTGAAGCTATCAAGTAAGCCATCAGATAAAGAAGTCAGGGACCAGAGGAGAAATCTGGGTTGGAAACAGAAATTTGGGAGCCACCAGAATACAATAATTAAAGCCATGGCATAGATGAACTTGCCCAAGAAAGTACAGCACCCAAATCGGATCTACTCTTCATCCTCAAGGAATGCTAATACTCAGTAGCCGAGTAGAGAAAGATAATGCAGAAAAGAAAGAACAGATGAGCAGCCTCAGAGCAGGAGGAGAACAAGAATGTTTCCATTAGGATGGAGTGGTCACCTGTGCCAGATGCTACTGAGACATCTAGCAAGGGAAGGCCTGGCAACATGGAGGGCTTGCTGACTTTAATTTGAATTGTTTCAAGGGGATATAGGGGACAGGAGTCAGGTTGGTGCTGGCTGAGGAATGAAGGGGAAGTGAGGAATTGAAGAGACCATATGCACCACTCTCAGGTGTGGTTTTGAGAGAAAACAGCCCCGAACCTACTCCTCCTCAGTCTCTACTGTTGACCTTCTTTGCCACTCAGTAAGCTGAATTGATTTGATAATTTGGTATTCAGTGCTCCACAGCTGTGGTCTCCCAGTGGCTATGGGAACCAGCCAACCAGGGATGGAGTCTGCGGGGGTCTCCACCTCTAAAAAGGAAGCTCTTCCACCCCTTGGAGCAGCTCTGACTCTGCCGACCCCCAGAGACCCACTGTAGAAACGCTGCTGAAAATGGGTTTAAGAAACAAAAAGTCCTTGTATTTTAGAGACACCTCCTGAAAAATATAAGGATAAATCGGGTCTTGGATTTGCAGAGTAAAACGGTAAGCCATGAGTTGATAATAATTGAAGCTGGATGATGTAGACACAAAGGTTTATGAACTGTTATCACTGCTTAATTTATACATAAATTTTCCCCTAATACATGGTACAAAATTAAATTTAGTAACTGTGCAAGTGAAGTTGCAGAGAGCCAGTGACCATCACAGGCCCACTATGTAATGACACTTAACACCGGATACCTTCTAAACCCAATCCACCATTGGCTTGGGGATTTCACGGTACCAAATGTTCTCATAGGCTGTCCTCTCTTCTCTCATTAACTGAACACTTTTTTCCTTGCCCCTTTTCTCCTTTCTTACCTCCCTCCTACATATGGACATAGTTCTGTCACTTCTCATCTTCATGAATTTGAACAAGTTCCCTCTCATCCCTGAACCATAGTCTGAGAGACAGGGACAGACACCTGCTTAGCAGTGTCATGAGGGTCAATTTTGACTGTGTACGTGGGAGCCTCTAGCAGGGTTCATAGCCTCAAAAGCCCACAGGAGTCTGGAAGGTCATACAAATGAATGAAGGTGATCAGGTAGGAGAAAATCATGGGACCCACTTGACCTATCTTTAGCGTTGTCACTTTTAGTAGACCTACAAGTAGAAAGAATTCTAAGAAAACTTCTGTTCTGTGAGAGAAATCACAATGCAAGCATGATCGTAAATGGGATAAATAATCCACAGTCATAAATGAATAGGCAGTATACTGAGACTTAGCCTCAGTGTTGGGGAGTCGTAGGGAGCAGAGGGGTTGGGACAAATTAGAGCACACACACCCCATCTAATGGGGAGGTCCTCCTCAGCTCCAGCTGGTTGCTGCCGTGAGGGGATGTCGAGCCAAAGCTAACATGTCTTCTTGTTTTACAAGACAAGCTAGAAGCTAGAGAACCCAAGTTGAGTTTGGGTTTAATTATTTCAAAACAAAACAAAACACGATGAAGGCCAAACTAAGCTTATCTGTGGGCCAAAATCAGCTCCCGGGCTGCCCACGTGCCACCTCTCACCCAGATAGTGGGATATAACACAATTCCCCTTCCTCTCCTTTTCTCTTCTTCCTCTAACTCTCCCCTTCCCCTCTCCATTTCCACATCCTTCTCTCCTAACCACCCCCACTCCTCCTTTCTCTACTAAGTCCAAGTGGTGGAAGGGCTTGAACGGGTGGAAGAAGTGATCGCGCCCTAGATTCCTCAGGGCCGAGCTTATGGCCTTCCATAGTGAGTCTTCTTCATAGTGGATCTTCATAGTGGATCCTCAGGAAACACTCTGATGAATGAATGAGCCAGCAACTAGGGGGCAGGGGACCCATTCACTTTCTTGCGCACACCCTGGGCTTACGTGAGGAACTGTCTTGTTGTTCTTGCCAGCTTTGCGAAGTCGTTCCGGCCGCTCCATCATCAACGGGAACTGGGCAATTGACCGGCCGGGAAGGTACGAGGGTGGAGGGACCATGTTCACCTACAAGCGTCCAAATGAGATCTCGAGCACCGCTGGAGAATCCTTTCTGGCTGAAGGCCCCACGAATGAGATCTTGGATGTCTATGTGAGTTTGCATGTTTCCGGACGATTGGGATTCTGCATCTTGTTTCTTCCCAGGACCACACGTAGCACAGATAAGCGACAAATCCGTGCCTATGGTCAATAAAACCATTCGAGCTGAGCCTTTTGAGGTGCCTGGGTGCTTGGTGTTCATCTTTGCCATTCTGAATGTCCCTAGTTCTTAGAAACCTAACCTCTACCAGATGTTTATTACTCTCCAAGTTTATGGACCTCCTAAAACCGTTTTTACTTGTTGAACCAAATCAGAGGCAAAACATATCCTTTATTTCATGAGCATTGGCTTCCCTCCAGGCACTTTTCTCCTAATGCTAATTTGGCATGTTTTCTTTTTATGGCAAAAGAAAGCAAATGCCTAAAGCAAGACAAGACCGCTCAAGTTCCCAGCCCTCTTCAAATTCTATTAAAGCGAATGAAGAAATGAGAGCTCCAGAGTACTCCACATGATACAATAAAGCTCGGAGTAACAATACGGAGGTTTACTACAGGTTCCCTGCCTGGCAGAAGACACAATTTGGGATTTATTTTACAAGAAACTAAATTATGAAGTCGCCCTGGATTTAAAATTGTCCTTATTTTTAAAAGAAAGCACTAAAATCCAGTCTTCTTCAAAAGATCGGGAAATTTTAAAAAGTGACAAGAAATAAAAAGCTCGAAATCGGGTTTTGATAAAGACGAGCTCACACACAGATCTGCATTCTCTTACCATCTTCAAAGCCATGCGAATCTACATGCTACTTTGCTGTGTTAGAATTTTATAAATATTAGTTCTCCCAATTATATAGTTATATGTTCATTCCTGTTGGGCCTGGAGGCTCATAGACTAGAAACTATAAAAGAAGCCTTGTTATAGTTAATTTTGAATATTTTTTTTAAGACTGTCCAGTTGGTTGTTGGACTCTGGGTAAGTTTCAAATGGCATCAGGGGTAAAAACCCCGGTTGTGAAGGGGCCACTGTGGGTGGTCTAGGTTGCGGTGGCCAAGAATAACTTCAAAAATGGGACAAGGGTTGCACTGGCAGGGTGCTCATGCAGAAGAGGCATGAGAGAGGCAAGGAGAGCTTCCGGCCTCAGACCCACTGTCAGAATACGTGAAAAGAGAAATGAGGGAATTAGGGGTCAACAGCGAACCAGAGACCATGCCCCTTTATCCCTTGGAGTTCTGTTTACCACCCTGGGTCCTATGTGTCCGGAGCTCAGGGGTTCTCATGTCTGCCTTCCCTCGGTGGTTTGTAGAATGGAGGCCCCAGTTCCCATGCAGAGAGTGGGTAAGGGATGATGGCGGACAGAATCACACTCTAATGAACCAGCAAGACCCACCGTGCAGGACTGACTCGGAGATGCTCACAGCTTTAAAGGACCAAAGAGACAGCTCTGACCCTAAGCTTCTCGTCCAATGAGGAAATCAAAAACTGTGAGACCCTGGGGCTTGCTCTAGGTGACACAACTGGTCAAAGGAGTGCCCCTTTAGAAAGCAGTAGAGACAGAAATATCAGAATGGGACAGTGTCTCCTTGCCTAGCTCATAGTCACATAGCAGATCCCCGTTCTGCTGCTCTGTTTAAGCCCAGCACCCTGCTTCTCACCAGGAAGGCCGTGGGCACAAAGGAGTGTGTGTTCTGAAGCCAGTAGAGAGGGATTTATTCTGCCAAGCTGTGCTGATTTATGTTGTGTTTTCTGTCCCAGACGATGTTTAATTCCTGACTTCCATGGCCTTCTGCAGCTTCCTGCTTGATATCCTGCTTTTGTCATTGGTGCTTGAGAGGATAGGAACCAGGGAGACTTACTTCCCTGACACCAGTTGTCCTGAACCCATCTCTTTGTGGTTCTGGAGCTTTCCACGGATGAGGGGGGACGCGACCCAGAAAATGCACGTGGGAGAGGGTGGGGCAGGCCTTTCCTGAGCCAACCTCCTGGCTAGGTAGGGTTCTTTGAAGGAACATGAAGGCTCCCAGGCTGGCTCTGCCCAGAGGGCTGGCTCTTCTTGGCATGACTGTATCTCGCCACCTAGTGTTCAAATGAGTCCCCCTGGAGCAGACACTTGGCCTGGCCATTTTAAGCGCACCGAGCACAATCTAAACCATGATGTTAAGATGGTTGAGAGCCCACAGAAAGGCTCTGCTACCATTGCTCCCATCTTTCTATTTGGAATGTATAACATATTGACTTTCAGCCCAGTTTTCTTCTAAGTCCTTCATTCTTCTAAAAGCAAATAACAAAAAACCATCCAGAAAGAGCTTTCCTTTAACCTGTCACAGTTTCACTAATATAATTAGATCTGAATCAACCCACTCATGTGTAGATAGTGCCATGCAAACTGGGGAACCCTGGGCCAGCAGGAGAGGGATATGAGCGTGTGCCGGTGTAGTGACATTGACCTCTATGTTGTCAGATGATCCACCAGCAGCCCAATCCCGGAGTCCACTATGAATATGTCATCATGGGGACCAACGCCATCAGCCCACAGGTGCCTCCTCACAGGAGACCAGGTAAAACCTCTTGTTCTATAGCCAACCACCCCTGCCCCCAGTCATTTCTTTTTAAAGCCCTCTGTCTCTTCTCGTGCATCTCCCCTGGGTCTCTCAGTCAACACAGAAAAAACGCATGGACGCGCCCTTGACATTAGAGGATGCTTCACCATTTATCTGAGCCTTTGCTGATAAGAGGGTCCCATTCACTTGATTCAAACACGAGGTGAACATCCTGAGTCTGTCTTTCCAGTTCATTATCTTGAGATACCCAATATTAGTTCCTTCTAGCTGCCACGTAACAAATTATGTCAAACGTGGTGGCTTAAAACAACACAAATTTGCTATCCTACAGTTCGGGAGGGTCAGGAGTCCAAAATGGGTTCTGCTGGGTTGGAATCAAGGTGTCGGCAGGCCGTGCTCCCTTTGGAGGTTCTAGAAGGTTCTGTCACCCTGCTCTTTTCGCTTCGAGAGGCCTCCTGCACTCCTTGCTTCTTGGCTTCTTCCTGCGTGGCACCTTCGGATCTCGGGCTCTGACCCCCCTTCTTCCATCATCACATCTCTGGGCCCCCCAGACAAACCGGGACCATTCTCCATCCCCAGATCTTCTAACTTCATCACATCTGCAAAGCTCCTTTTGCCATATAAGGTATCATCCTCATGGATTAGGATGCAGGCACCTTCAGAGGGCCATTATTCTGCCCACCTCAGGCCTTTTCTTTTGGTCCCCTTTTGCTTCTACTGTCACTACTTTGACTTGTAAGGAAAGAATAATAAGTTCACACCTAATTATCTACCTCTTTCCTGTGGGCTCTGCGATAGACAAGCAGCCATCTGGCTCTGTGGATATTTCTTTACCAGGTGATAACAGAACCCACTACCCAAATGGAGACTACTTTTTTCCATCTTTTGAACAGGAAGGCCTGCATAAATAGCAGTGCTAATATCACTCACATGCTCTGAGTTCTTGCTGTGTGCCAGACACCGCTGAGCCCCTCATATAGCTGAACTCACCAAATTATCATGACAGCGCTCAGAGGAAAGGGGCTGTTATTAGCCTCATCTTAAAAATTAACAGGGGCTCCTGGGTGGCTCAGTGGGTTAAGCCTAGACCTTTGGCTCAGGTCATGATTTCAGGGTCCTGGGATGGAGCCCTCCATCAGGCTCTCTGCTCAGCAGGGAGCCTGCTTCCTCCTCTCTCTCTCTCTGCCTGCCTCTCTGCCTACTTGTGATCTCTCTCTCTGTCAAATAAATTTTTAAAAAATTAACAAATGGAAACTCAGAGACATGGACTTTCTGTCTAGATCCCACAGTGACTTCAGTCCCCTGTCTGTTATACCACCTAGGGTTAGCTGCTCTGACATCTGTCCCAGCAATGAGGGCACAGATGTGAGGCCTGGCCCTCTAGATGGATAACTGGGTTATCTGACTGTCACAGGTCAGGGGGGAGCCACCCAGCTCCTTGGAGACAGCAGGGTGTGAGCGGGCACGTGGGCTGTGCGTGTTGTCCAAACTGAACATCAGCACACTCAGCCCAACACGATGGGCAAGCCATTTGCAGGAAGGGTACATAGTCTGAGAAACAAGGTTCAGATGGCAGAATATGGACGTTCCTGAGATCTGATGCTGATGGATAAGGACAGTCGGACAGACTATTCGAAATCCTACAGCATGATGATGGTCATAACAAGCCTGATGGGTCTCAGCTAATGGGTAGCATGGGATTAGCTACCTGGGACAGGGTGGGCCCAGAAGGAGTCAGTTGTAAAAAGTTGGTGAGGAGGGGCATTCTCCACCCTCCATGAGCTTGAATCCAGCTCTGCCACTTTTTTGCTGTGCACCCTCAGGCAAGTCAGAAACTTCTCTGAGCAAGTTCCCAATCTACATAGTAGTGAAGGGGAAAAAACCCTACATGCCAAGGTATTTTTTTTGAATACCAGGTGCCCATCCAGCATAGTGCCCAGTACATTCAAGGTGTGCAAAAGGTTTTAAAATCTTTTTGTCTGGTAATATTTTAATCTTGCTTATGTCAGTATGCGTCATCTTGATTCCATTGATTTAAATTGTATTTAATATTTAAAGCCATGAAGTGTAAGTGATGGAGGGTGGGGAAAGCCCTGAGTTTTAACTGGATTCTACAGTAACTCTGGAATTTGCCTCCTTGTTTTGTATCAAACTAGTATATGCTTGAATAATATTCAACCAAAATAGAAATATAGGAAGGAAGACGCAGGTGCCCCATAACTGCCCAAACTTGGATGAAACCAAGATGAATGGATAGATAAACTGAGGTCTACCCAGCCAGTGGAATATTATTCAGCACAAAAGGAAATGAGCTACCTAGCCACTGAAAGACATGGAAGAAACTTCTCACAGTGAGAAGGAAGAGCTGTTGACTTCCCACAGCTTTTACTTCCCTGCAAAAATCTGTATCCAGAACACCTAAGGGCTTGGCCACTTGGCCTGGGAGAGGAGAGACAGACACGAAGGGCAGAACACAAATTTAATCTCTCATAAGGGCTCCTGCCACACCTGTGTAGACATATATACAAAATGATTTCTGCTATGCTTTTTTCTTTCATCAAACAATGTATCAGTCATATCTTCATGTCACAACATATAATTTTGCTTCATTCTTTCAAAGAAAAAAAAATAACATAACATGCCGTATTTTAACAAGTACCACCGGTGGACATTTAAGTTCACTCTACTGTTTGGCTAATTCAAAACACGCTTTAGTAGCCGTGCTTGTACACACAGCTTTGTGTAAATGAATAGGAATATTTGTAGGGTAAATGTCCTAGAAACTGAATCTCTAGTCAAGGGGTATGTACATTTAAAACTTGGGCAGAGGGTGGGGCACCTGGGTGGCTCAGTCAGTTAAGCATCTGCCTTCGGCTCAGGTCATGATCCTGGAGTCCTGGGATTGAGCCCCGCCTCAGGCTCCCCACTCAGTGGGGAGTCTGCATCTCCTTTTGACCCTCTCCCCTCTCGTGGTATCCCTCTCTCACAGTCTCTCTCAAATAAATAAATAAAACTTGGGTAGAGAGTTGCGGGAGGTGGATGGGGGGATGGGATAACTGGGTGACGGACATTAAGGAGGGTGCGTGATGTAATGAACACTGAGTGTTCTATGCACCTGGTGAATCACTGACCTTTACCTCTAAGACTAATAATACACTATGTGTTAGTTAATTGAATTTACATTAAAAAAATCAAATAAATAAATAAATAAATAAATAAATAAAACAAACTTAGGTAAATATGGCCAAATTGCCCTCCAAAACTTTGTGTCTATCTGCCGGCTCCTCGTCCTTGGTTTTCCTCTACCTTCAGTGAGGGGTTTAGGGATTTAAGGGTCTTCAGATTTTCTCTCCTTTATCATGAGGCTAATAAAGTGGTGGCAATTTTTTGTTTTCACATGAAGTTCTTTCATTATGAGTGAAGTTGAGCGTTTTTGTATGACTTTGGGCTATTTGTGTTTCTTTTTATGTGCCTGGCCTCTTCCTGGCCCTTGCCTGCTTTTCCTACTGAGACATTTGTCTGTTTCTTACTCATTTTTAACCATGTTTTGAATTTGGGGGAAATTGGTATCTGCATGTTTAAAATACGTATGCTCTGAATTGGAAATGACCTCATGCTATGTGATTTCTAATGTTGGAGGGCTGTCCTCGGGGGGCTTCCGGGTCTAGACCAGTCTTACTTCCATGTGCATGCACCTGTCTCTCCTAGGAGAGCCCTTCAATGGCCAGCTGGGAACAGATGGAAGGAGCCAGGAGGAGGGAGCAGAGAAAGAGGGGGCCGAGGAGAAGGAAGATGTGCATGGTGGCGCCCCCGAAGTATTCACCTCGGAATCGGCACAGACCTTCCCAGTCAGGCATCCAGATGGATTTTCCTCCCACCGACCCGACAATCTGGTGCCAGTGGCCCCGCAGCCCCCAAGGCGAAGCCGGGACCACAACTGGAAACAGCTCGGGACCACAGAATGCTCCACGAGTTGTGGGAAAGGTGAGCTCCAGTGCGGGTGAGGAGGGTCTCTGCGAGGAATGGGTGGCTGGGCTTGAGGGACCTGGCACACCCTCCCCTCCTTGAGCCCGACTGTGAGGTGGTTCATTGGTATGACATTGTGTGGAGGGTCCCCAAGACCACCCTCAAGCTTGATGATCCACAAGGACACACGAGACTCAGAAGAGCTGCTCTCTTTGTGGCCACCACTGATTACACTGAAAGACTACAGGTGGGTATCATCAGGCAAGAAGGCATGTGGAGCCAAGTCCAGGAGAAACCAGGGGCCAGCTTCCAGGTGTCCCATCCCACGAGAGTTGCACCCAGATGCACTGAATTCTCCCGGCAGTGATGAGTGACAGCAGGAGCCCAGTAGTGTGGACGAGATAATCGAGGTTTGGTGTCCAAGGGGCTTACTGTGGCTCAACCGCATAGGCATGGAGCTCCCACATGACTGACGTTAGCTCCTCGGCCTTGAGTGCTCAGAAGTCAAACTGAGAGACAGAATATGGCCCAAGACCTCAGGCGCACAAAAACAGGCATTCAGCCCAGTCTCATTGCTGACACAGTGTGGTCCAGGGCATGGAAAAACACTCCTATCAGCAGAATAGTCCGCGGGCTCAAAGGTTGTCTCCAGCCCTGCTCCAGGGCCACGAACCTCATTTGTGGTTTTTTGCTTAATCCATGTGCAAAGAATGTAGACTGGAGATTCATTGGCCTAATCCCCTTTTTAAGCTTTAGGAGGGAAAAAGAAATGCCCATAGAATGTGCCCGAACAGAGGCAGGAAGCTAAAGCTAAATTATACAAGAAGGCCCAAGTCATTTCAGTCACCCCTGGAACTGCAGAGGGGCGGGTAGGATGAAACACAGCTGACATAGGGACCCGGGGTCCAAATGTGGGAGTATTGACGTTTCCCACCATGGAGTTAGCAGTGCGACGCCCACCGGAGGAACCAGACACCTTTGTGCTAGGTACACACGAGGGAAAGTTATAAAAAGAAGAAAAATTGCCGTCCTGTGGTTTTGTATCAAAGAAGGCAGATGTGTAGAAGAGGCTCTTCCCCTTGGTGTCTGGAAATATTGCGTGGCCCAGCCTTTCCAGTTGGGTGAGATGTTGCTGCATCTGGATACCGTCAGACAGCACCTCATGGACTTCAATAGAATAAGAACCCAAACATGTACTGTTGCCCTCTCACCCTTCATGCTGCACACACAGCCCTGCATTCGCCAGGTAGACACCACATAGCCTGATGGTCATTCAACGGGGTCATTCAAGGCATGATGGAGGGACCCCATTTCTAGAGATTCTGATTATCTTTCTCCCAGTCAGCCCCAGCCTGTGGGATCTACACTGAGCCAAACACCAGCCTCCTTTACTCTATTCCCTGGTATGGAACCAGCAAACCGCTTACACTCCCCGATCTAGCTCAGGTGCATCTCCTCCGTGAAGCCCTTCCTGATCCTGCAAGGCACAGGGGAGCACTGTCCCCATGGGACAGCATAGCAACTCGGGCCACATTCTTGCCCTAGCTCCGTGTGGCCTAGCTGTCTCTGTTTGTGGACACCTTGTATCGCCTGCCCCTGGGATCGTAGCCAGCCCACAAGGAGATGCTCCTCAAGTGTTTCTTGAACTAATGAATATATTGTCAAATGAGGGTTATCCAGCTATTAGAAAAGATGTAAGAGTGGTTTATACATCATTGCATCCTGGATAAGCAAGGTGGTACTGCCTTACTGTGTTTTATCCGTAGCTTGAAGAATGTGGATTTATGTACTCGCAGCTGAAGAGTCTTTTTCTCGACATTTCCATATGATTTGGTTTAATGTTCTTAATATAGTCTTTCTTCTTTGCCCTGTGGACACACACACACACACACACACACACACAGCACTTTTCCCCAGCCCTCTCTTCTCTCATACCCCTAGCCCCTTGCTCTTCCGCCGGACAAATGGCAGCAGCCCATGGATGCCCCTCCTTTGCTCCCTGTAGGGTTTGCTCCCAGCAGCAATGGCTGGATTGCAGGCAGACGAGGCAATATGGACGCGCCCTTGTTCAGATCAACAGTAGTGACAAATATACCAGGACCACGCCCTTCCGAGCCCACTGGTGCCATCCTGCTCTTGTATGCACAACCCACACCCACGCCCCCTGTGACCTCACCATTCGTCCCCACACAAATCTTCTTCCATCCTTCCTGGTGGAGCTCCCCAGACCACATGTCTCCATGCCTCTCAAGGAAACCCCCCCCCCTTATGGTATCACCGCCACAGTGAGGGGTCCTGCCTCTGGCAGCCCGCAGTACGTCGTACTCCATCCAGCCATTGCCCAGACCTCTGTCTGGTCAAACACTTGGCTTGGCTCAGTTGACTTTTGGAGTTCCAAGACTCGGATGATTTCATTTTTTACTTGCTCCGTATTTTGTCCCTCTCTTCACAATGCCATACCAACCTCTCTGCGGTGTCCTCCAGACTCACTGACTTGCCTCCTTTAATATCTGCGGATTACCTGCGGTCTCATTCCCTCCTCCAGGATAACATACCTCTGTTCCGGTCAACATGCACAACATAAAACCCAACTAAAATGATCCCAGATTTTTCCTGCTGCTTGAAGCCCAGCCCGCACCTGACCTCACCAACCCCAGTCTCACTTGCCAGCAATTAGAGGCGGAATAGAATGGCGTGCTGTACAATGAAGAGATGGCCAGATACCATTTGAGTGACTCTCCCTCTCTGCAGAAATCAAAACTGACCCAAAGAAAGAAACCGCGTGGTCACTGGAATCAAGAATCATAGTTCTGGTGTTTTCACACCAACAGAGAGTGAGCCTCTGAATTTACGTCCTTGGCTGAACACTGAAGCTGGACCGTGGTGGACAAGTGTAGTGTAAGGGCAGTTAAGGATGAGGAAGGTCCGTGGCCATGTGCAAACAGCCCTGAGCAGGACCCATCTCTCCAAGGCACAGAGCATTCCTATGACATCCTGTATCCTTTTAGCTAAAGATTCTAAATTACCCCCTCATTTGAGTGCCATAGGGTTGGAGTAGTAACTTTTGCTTTCCAGTCCGCAAACTTGACAGCTAAGAAATTAAACCCACAGGGTCTGAAGGGATAAATAATACTATTTTTACTTAATCCCTTAATAGCTGGGTCCCAAGTGGGTACCCCACAAGGCGTGAATGGAATCTTACTCATCTTTGTAAGTGAGCACAAGGTGCTTAATGTTTGTGGAATTTAATTTAAACAATCTCTTCATGGAAGCAGATATGTCACGGGACAAAATTTAATTCCATAGAAGTTTCTGTCTCCTATTAATTTTACACTTTTTTTTTACTCTGCCAATAATTATACTTCATTAGAACATTATTTTTTAAATAATGGTCGCAAAGCTACATTATGAGTTTTTACTGCCAGAGTCGTTTTGAAACAAATGATCATTTTAGATTCAGAACTGTCTTCCAATTTGTCCGGTTTCTTATGGGAACCGCCCTGTGGCTCAGGGGTCACACAAGATCAGCTTCCACAAGCAATGACACGCTTTTCATGGACAATGAAATATGGAGATGTTTATGTGAAAAGTTATCCCTCCGGTTACAATTAAACTATCTTAACTTGGAAGTTCAGAAACCCCAAACACCAGGCCAATTAGCAACAGAGCTAAGACAGAACTGTAGAATAAGTGATTGTGTTCTGCCCAGCAGGAATTGGGTAGTGGCCTAGACTGGGGGCCAGCGGGGTGGGGGGAGGACAGACAATTATTTGTGGAAAAACATATTTTTCAGACAGTTGTATGGCCTGTTCCCTGGTTACCTTTCTCAATTTGTACACAGCCGTTAGCAATACCCCGTGATACCACCAGAGGGCAGCAGAGAGAGAGAGGCAAACAGAATTGTCCGCCCTTTTTTTTTTTTTTTTGGTCAAGCTAGAGATTCCTTTTAATGGATTCTGACTTTTTCTCCAAAATACATTGATCACTGGATGTTATACGCAAACAATGAATCATGGAACACTACATCAAAAACTAATGATGTACTGTATGGTGACTAACATAACATAATAAAAAATACATTTATTCATATTAACTCAGTGAAACTCAGCTATGTATTTAAAACAAAACAAAACAACAACAACAACAACAACAACCCCGAGGCAGTTAGTATATTTTACAAAATAAACAAATATTAGACCTCTGATAAATATCCATTCAGTATTTTTACTGAGTGGCTGTTACTCTGCTAGGTACTGGGATTACAGCGATGAACAAGAATTAGTTCTGCCCCTGAGAAGCTCTCTGTCTCATGGGAAGCAGATATCTACTCAAATAACTGAAAATACCATTGGGTCAGTGCTTTATTAGGGGAATGGGTAAAATGCTTTACAGCATAGGGCGAAGCCGGCTGCTCTCCTAACCGGTCCTGCATCTTCTTCTCTGCTTAAGCCTGAGTCTCACACATTCCAGGCACATGCAGGCCAGTGTGTTGGGCACTTTTGTTCCTGTTCAGCCGCCTGCACAGCCCCCTCCCTCCAAGACACACATGTGCATGGCTACCCAACCTCCGCTCTTCTCTAGGATCCAGCGAGACCCTCTAGGACCCTTTCTCTGTGATGTCTCCAGAAAATCTCCAAACAGTTATTACTTGTGGTCATTTTATAATCACTCTCCTGCCTCATGGTATCTTGAACTGTTAGGAAAATCGCATCTGCCTTTAGCACATTCCAACTGTGTCCGCAAAGAGATGATAAGCTCTTGGAAGGCAGTAATTCTTCCTACTCTGTTTGCACCCACATTGCCTGGCACAGCCCTTGTGGGGGAGGTGTGTGTGAATGCATGAACGAAGGAGGAATGTGTGTGTGCGTGTGCATGTGTGTGTATGTGTGTGTGTGTGTGTGTGCATGTTCTGTTCCTGCAGCCTCTCTTTATCGGTACCCGGATCTCTGTGTACCTGCACCCTGAGCCCGACATTCGACTGTGTGGGGCTGTCCTTGACAAGTTCTCCTTGCCCTTGCAGGATCGCAGTTCCCTATTTTTCGCTGTGTACACAGAAACACCCACGAAGAGGTTCCCGAGAGCTACTGTGACTCCAGCATGAAGCCTACCCCTGAGGAGGAGCCCTGCAACCTCTTCCCTTGCCCAGCCTTGTAAGATGCGGAGGTCGCCTGTTAACCGGGTCGCTTCTGGGGGCTTGTGCATAAGACCTTAGTAGCAGACATAAAATCTGTCTACATCTGATTTAGAGCCATGAGACTCGGTCTGTTCAGCAAGGGCACCTGTCTGGGGGTGAACGCGGAAGCTTGTAGCCTTTAGCCGTGAGCACACACCTGTGGTCATTTGGAGCAATTACGTGCAAGCTTGGTGGGGGAAAGCAAAGAGGAAGCTGAGAATTATAGCCCGTCGTCGTCGGTGTTGTAGGTGAGCTGTGAGCAGAGAGAATGAGGAGAGTCACAAGTCCGTGGGCAAGAAGAAGTCGGGAAAAGTATCTCAGGAGAGGTCTTGGGGTGGTTACTGAATGATGAAGAGGACACTTCCAGAAGAACAAGGAGATAGGGTCTCCACATAATTTTCAAAGTAATAGAAACATTCTCCTACGTATTGAGCGTGTGCTGATGTCTTATGTAACTAAGAGACAAAGCAAGGTGACAAGGGAGCATCGTGAAACTGATGAGCAAGTAGCTCCTGAGAAGTAAAGAACTCTGGAGAAGATCTCTAAGATCCAATGTGGGTTAATGTTCTACAGGGGGATGCTAAAACTACCATTTGGAGTTTGGGGGGTTTTTTAGATAAAAATCATTTGCACCTTCTCGGTTTTCTTTAATTTTCTAAAACCGGGCTGTCACCACCAGTAAAGAGCTTGTGGACAGAGTTACATTGCTTCACGGGGTCCGACGGTGAAGCTGTGCTCTGGGGTGAGGGCCACCCCCGCGTAATGGTGTTAATGGTTCTGTGCGGTTTGGCTCTCGGGGTGGTGCGGGCTCTTGCGGCTGTGCCTTCTTCCCCGGCTGAAGGTGATCCGGCCTTCTCGCGTTCTCTCATTCCTGAGCTAGCTGGGACATCGGAGAGTGGTCCGAGTGCAGCAAAACCTGCGGCCTGGGCATGCAGCACCGCCAGGTCCTGTGCCGCCAGGTGTACGCCAACCGCAGCCTGACGGTGCAGCCGTACCGCTGCCAGCACCTAGAGAAGCCCGAGACCACCAGCACGTGCCAGCTCAAGATCTGCAGCGAGTGGCAGATCCGGACGGACTGGACCTCGGTAGGCGGGGCGCGCAGCCTGGTCTGGAGCTCCCGCTCCCGGACTCCTGGCCATGCCCCCCACCCACTGCCGGCATCCCCACCCCACCAAAGGCCCCGCTCAGGGACAGCCCTGAGGTCTCCTAGAGGGAACCCCTCCTGGGGAGTTCTGGAAGGACCGTCTAGCAAACCGTAGGATGCAACCAACAGCACGCTAGAGTTAAGGCTAGTGTGCCCCGATCCTCCGCAGCCCGTGGGAGTCACGTGCATATGGGGGTCACCTGTCTCCCGTGTCATGAGACGTCTGCTCCTTCCAGTCTCATACCCGGGTTTCACAAGTGACAGAACGGAGGTCCAGAGCCACAGAGTAGGTGGGACAGCCAAGTCGGTCTCAGAGGAGCGGTGGTGAGGTTTTAAGGGCTGGGCGGCTCCCCAGGGGGCCCCTGCATTGCAGGGGACTCGCAGCCACCCAGGGGGTCTCTCCGCGGTCATCATCCGCTCAGGTGGCGGGTGACAAGGGTGAGGGCACCAGGGCTGGGGAGGCCCTCAGAGGTCAAGCTGCCCATCCCACTGACGTATTCCTGCTGTTGTAGTGCTCAGTGCCCTGCGGAGTGGGGCAGAGAACCCGAGACGTGAAGTGCGTGAGCAACATCGGGGACGTGGTGGATGATGAGGAATGCAACATGAAGCTCCGGCCCAACGACATTGAGAACTGCGACATGGGGCCCTGTGCCAAGAGCTGGTTCCTCACCGAGTGGAGTGAACGGGTGAGCTGCGGGCGGGCAGAGCGGGCTTCCTAGGGCCGCGACCCAGCCCCATGAAGATGAGTCCCTGGCTGAGCATTCCAAGGCTTGGGGGAAAAGGCTTTCCCTCTTTACACAAAGACCGAGGGGCTGCAAGGGTGAGCGCTGGGCCTGAAAGAATTAGTTCTCCTTCGCACTGCACGTGAACGTTAGTGAAATCCTGAATGAGGTGAACAGGTACTCCCATGCCTCATTCGTTGTGTGAGCTCCTGGCATATAAAAGGCACTCGGCCAGTGGCAGGCCCCTTCCCTCCTTCTTACAACTCAGCGCAGTTCACTGGAAGTTCACTGGACTGCCCCCCTTCCCCAGTAACCTGGCCTCCCTTGGGGTCCCTGGGGGCAGGTGTCAGAGATGAAGTCTGAGGCACGTAGAGTTAACTGTGTGCAAGGGAAAGCGGCAAGAGATAGAGTTCATCTGTCAAAGACAAAACTAGGGGCGCCTGGGTGGCTCAGTCGGTTAAGCATCTGACTCTTGATTTCGGCCCAGGTCGTGATCTCAGGGTGGTGAGATCAGCCCAATGCGGTGCTCCCCTGGGCATGGAGCCTCCTTGAGATTCTCTCTCTCTCCTTCCTCCTCTGCCCCCCCACCGTCACTCACATGCGTGCATGTGCACGCTTGCTTTTTTAAAAAAAAAAAAAAGAAAAAGAAAAATGACAAAAATAGGATTTATAGGGATTCTGGAGTTGGGTCATGATGACCGTTACACGACAGTGTAGATGTAATCAATATTCCTGAAATATACACTTAAAATGATTACAATGGTAAATTTTATGTTGCATGTATTTTACCACAATAAAACAAAGGTTTAGGGAAAAGTACTAAGCAGAATTACAGAGCATACCTTGGGGTGGGGAAGAGAGAGGGGGAAGAAGATAATGAGCTCTACCTTCCTTTTCTTACGGAAGCTGACTGATGGACTGGCAGTGGGAGAGGCCATCCGGGGATTCCTGCCAGGGCAGCAGACTGGCCCCCACACCAAGGGAGTATGGGTTTCTGGATTCTCTAGAGCCCTTGCGGGTTGAACTGGGATGGAAACAGGACTGGCTGTCTCTGTCCTTAGTGCCTTCCTCTCAGCTGGGCCAGGTGGGCCCCGTTTCCCTCACCGGAATTCCTCACCATGCTCCCAAACTGGAGTGTGCCTACAGATCACCTGGGAACCCCCGCGGGGAGTGGGGGGGGGAGCTGAGTCTGAGTCCCCGCTGGGAGGTGGACCTGGGAATCTGCCTTCCTAACAGGCTCCCAGGGGCTGCGGAGGCCGCTGGGCCAAGGGTAAGAGGGGACCAGGCTAGTTCCTAGAGTGTCAGGAAACGCTGAGCTCGGGAGTCTCCTCTCCCCGCAGCATCATGGGAATGACAGGGCGCTGTCTCAAGTTCAGAGGGGGAAAGCGTCCTGCGTCGCCAGCCCGCCACGTGGGTGGATTCCTGGGCCAGCATCCCTCCCACTGGTGAGCGCCCACCATGGCGTGGTCGTCCAGTATTCTGAGCATCACCCGGCAAATGCTCATAGGGGTTTCTACCCCATCCAGCGCTAAGACACCCCTGAATTTCATCACCGTGATCACAGTAACACTCCACCTCAGCAGGGGGAGTGGTGGAGGAACAGCCCTGCCAACGCAGCCTTCACCCCGCATGCGGAGATCATCCTGGAGATTTTTAACGAGTGATGGATCTGCTGTGGATTCCTGACACCTTGTGGCTTCTGGCCACACCCCTTGGTCCCCAGAGGGCCTCCAGATAGAGAGCCCATATGTAATCACTGAACTCTAAGGACAAGCAGCGAATAGGGCCTCTGTCCCAGGAATGGGCTGAAATGGGCAAATGAGCCCTCGGGGAGGCACCGACTCAAAGGAAACAAATGGAGGGTAGGTGCTCTCAAAATGTGTCTGCGGATTCAGACTTGGGCACCGGAGGCCGAGTCCAGCAGGGCCCACCCCCATTCTGTCTGCACATCCACTTTCCCCCCACCCAAACCTCCCAGCAGAACACACCTCAGCTCCTGGCAGGCAAGCAGTCCTGGGAGGCCGTCTAGAAGCCACTGTGGTCAGTCTCCTGCCAGCATGAGGAGCCCTCTGCAGTGTCCCTGACTGAGCCCAGCTCCTTCCCAGAAATTCTCAGGTTGAGGCCGTTGCCCACGGTGTCCAGAGGGATTCTTTGGCATGGGACTAAAATGTGTCTTGCGAACTCCCACTCTGGTCGTGTAGAACATGGGTGTCCCCCCCCAACACACTGCAGCCCTACAGATATTTCGAGACTTCCTCCTCCTCTTCTCCTAAAAATTCTTAGGTCCTTCAACTAATTCTTTTGTTTCTGGATTTCTAGCCATCTCCAAACGCGTTTGGGTTCACAGTAAACACCGCGCAGTTAGTGTGCAAACAAACGAATAAAGAGAATGATGCCAGGCTTCCATTTTTCTACTGGGAAGACTTGTTGTAAAATAATTTTGGACGAAAATTATTTTTGTCAGATATACGTAAGACCTTAAGCTAAAATGTCTGTGTCCTATAATATAAAAGTTTGTGATACAAACACAGAATTTATGATACCAGTTTAAGTTATGAAACAAAAGGAGCAAGATCATTTGAAGTCTAGAGCACTTAAACCCTTTTAATCCTTAATATAGTATATGAACTCTCATAAAGAACATGCAGAGCTTAAGGTAATAATTTCTTTCATGAATATTCAATGACTTGTATGTCCAAGTAGACTGAAGCTTGGAAATTTTTCTAAAGGTTCACATTCACTAGAGGAAATGGAGGTTTTAGAATGCTCGTGTAAAGGTTAAAAGAGCTGAAATTATTTTCTCAGTAAATACTTCCTCACCTTCATCAATCATTATTCTAAAATATAAAGAAAATTATTTATATAACACAAACAATATAATCAATAAAAAGCTACATACAAAGACAGGCGATGCAAGACAACTGAGTTGATAATGCATCTCAAATATTTCATCTAAAATATTTAATCATAGTTCTTATATGACTACACACTTAATAACTTATCTTTACTTAACAAAATAGTAAAAATGCCATTTCTACTTTTTTAATGGGTATTTGCAAACATTTTCTCTCAAATATATTTTTCACTTAAATAATATGCATTTCCAGTTAAAGATCTAATGTAGTTATGGATCAAAATAATGTTCATTTTTTCTGGTCATAAAGTAACACATACTGCTATTAAAAAAAAAAAATCAGAGAGTGCCTGGGTGGCTCAGTGGGTTAAAGCCTCTGCCTTCGGCTCAGGTCATGATCCCAGGGTTCTGGGATCGAGCCCCGCATCGGGCTCTCTGCTCAGCAGGGAGCCTGCTTCCACCTCTCTCTGCCTGCCTCTCTGCCTCCTTGTGATCTCTGTCTGTCAAATAAATAAATAAAATCTTAAAAAAAAAATCAAAAGCATACCTATAATCTCTTCACTAGCAGATAATAATTAAAAAATTTTAAGCTATGTTGTTAAACTTTTTTCTACTCATAAATACTTTACATATATAGCTTTTTTTGTACTCATACGTATTTAAAAGATACAAATCATAATACTATATAGGTATAATTTAGTGGCCTTCCTTTTTCACATATGATTAATTATACACATGTTAGTGGCATTAAAAACCTTTAGAGCATGAATTTTAATTAGACTAAGCTATTGTTTGTCTACTATAACTGAATCAACCCCTATTCTTTATTTCCTCTCCAACAAATACTTGTAAATTTCCTTTTAATGTAAATTTGCTTTACATTTTAACATAAGTACTTGCTGAATCTAACCCTTGTCTTAAAATTCTAAATAGAGAAAAGATGAGCCCTTTATTCTTCTGTTTAAAGAATTTCTTTGCTCTTTTTTGAAAGATGTTTTAAGCCATGTCAGTTTAGTGCTCTGATATAAATAAGTAGGTAATTTTGCTTTATCGGCCCCCAGAACACAATGTTATTACTGAATGTTCATGCCTGGAGAAGATGAGTGGGAAGGAGGCGTGGGTGGTTTTCAGGAAGGTGCATTGACCCTCAGTTCCCTCATTGGTAGCATTGCTGAATGAGCATTATGGGATAACCTACTTGAACCATGACCTGGTTGAGGCTGGTGCTCTGGGGTGGGCCTTGGAGTCACCACGTAGTCCTGGGAATGACCAGCTGGTGTCAGTCTTTCACACTCGAGTAGCGGCTTTGTGTAAAATCAACCTTGTTAAGCTTTAGCTGAGCTCTGCTATTTTTTTTGCAATGGCAGTAAACATGTATTAAGCACCTAGTAATGCCATGCATGAGTGAGATACACCCTCCATGTAATGAGCTCAAGGGGGAGAGATTAAAGAAAATGTGATTGAAGTGCACGAACACTTAAGGATCCAGAATACATCCTGTTGCCCAATTTAAGATCAAATTAATTAATCTCTACTTGATTAAATTGAATGTGTAAAATCAAACCTGGGTCTTCTCTTAAACTTCCAGGGCTGTGTAGTTTTCTGACTCAATGACTCATCATAAACACGTCTTTGCAGCCACCTTTAATTGAGGGTAGGCCTTAGCAGACAGGGGCATCATATACTTTTTAGTTCTGTAAATCAATGACAGGTTTAAACACACAGGCAATATTTAATCACAACAGACCAAAAAAAAAAAAAAACAAAAACAAAAACCACTTAGAAAGTCCACCAGCCTCAATTTTGTAACACCTAATATCTAAGGATGTTTTCCAAGAGAAGAAAATAAGACGTTGAGCTTTTTGTTACTTAATTAGGGAAGATGATACATGAACCTGAAATTCAGGAAGAGCCATTAGAGCCTTGTAGTTGGTCCCTCCAGGGCTGATTGGGCCAAATTTAGCATTCAGCTGTCCCTGGAGCGAGAAGACAATCCTCAAGACACTGTTGCTTAGAAATTTCATGCGTTTCTGTGATTTGTCAGCCCAGGAGTTCAGCTAGGAGTCAGGTCCTTTTCTGACTAACAGGAGAATTTGGTCCCTTTCTCAGGCATGTCCTTCAGGGACAGTGAATGGGTGTGTTTCAGTGCCTGGCTTCAGAGGGTGGTCCCTGCTGCCCAGCAGGGGCCCATCGTTCCCCCTCATTCCTGCTAGGAGGCTTCCAAGCCAGGGCCTGTGTGGGGAACTACTTCCAAGTTGAAATGCCTTGTGCTTTTCGCTGCCGGTCAGGTAATAAAGAGAAGTCCCTCGGTAGGGTTCATCCCCATAGTGTTCTCTCATTGGGCACTTGGCTTGGTCCTTAACATTCTTCTTTTATATGAAGCACATGGGGATATGGGGAAATTTTCCCAGATGTGAGGACATTACTTGGTTTGGAAAGCAGAAATTAAGTTAGCCAAATGGAAATTACAGGGAAAGAAATATTCTTAGGGTTTGAAACAAGAAGTTAATTTAATTTGCCTTGTATTCTTCAGGAGGATTTCAATATCTTGAGTGTTTAAAGCTAGGGAAGAGATCACATCATATATGGCTGAAGCAAAAAACCCTTTAGCTTAGAACATTCCAATTAATGTAACAAAGGATTTTGTTGTTGTTTTGTTGTAAAAAGGACTGACTCCTTGGCTCCCATTCCTAATAACAATGCAGATAGAGTCATGCAAAGGGTTTGTGAGCCTGTGAGGGAGAAGAAAAAAACATTTCCTCTATCCTCTTAAGTTCTGCAGTAGAAGCCTGCAAATTAAACTGACAAAAGCAAGATTAACAGGAGAAAAGCCAACACATTTTATGTGATGTTAATTTTTCTGTGTGGCACAGGGAACCTCATAGGAAAGAAGTGAAAATCCCAAAGCAGTTGGGCTTGAATGCCTCTATACCATTTTAACAAAGAGTGATAAATTCTGAAGAAATGACTAGACAAAGGGAAGGGGCTTTCCTACATTTCCTACATGTAGAAACATGTAGGAAATGTAGGAAAGTGGCTGAGAAATATATGGGGGAACCTAATGGAAGAGAAGGGTTATTTTCGTAAAGTTTATTTCTTTGAACTCATCTTGGCATCAGATCCCCAACACCAATTATAAAAATGTTCTCTTCTTCCTGATACCAGGTGGAAATTTATGCTCTGCTTTTAGACAGTGAGAAGAAGGGCAGAGAGCCTTTCCTGGATCTGTTGTTTCTCAATTGCCTTCAGTTCAAAATAAGTCAAAGCAGCATATTTTGGGGTGGCATGTTCTAATCCCCTTCGGGCTCTTTGTTCCAGAGAGATTCTTCCCTGAATAGTTAGGCCCAGCCCAGCAGCAGTCATGGAAATGTTTGCCTGGTCTTCTGGGTTATGATTTTACAAGACTAGGTAGGAATGCACAAAAATGAAAATGGAAACTTTGTTAAGGAACCAGGGATGTATTTTTTTCTTTTCTCAAATTTTATTTAAATTATATTGCTTTTGCTTATTTAAAAAAAATAGTCATATTGATAAAAACAAACAAAAAACAGTGACTCTGTTTTTAAGGGAATACCCAGCAGAAACCCTTAGAATGGGCTCTGGTTGTTATCTAAAGGGCCACTTTCAGAGTTGGAACATGCTGGTAACAGAAGAGAAAGGAGCAAGGAAGGACCCAAGTCTGTGTTCATTTATTTAACTGATATTCATGGATTTGCTCATGGGTAAGGTGTTGACCTGAGAAGGAAGTAAAGATGATTCAGTAGTCCCTGACTTCAGTGAGCCTACTTCTATAAAGGAAAAAATAAAGCAGGACATAAAGAACCATAATACACAGGAAGATAGGAGGATGAACCATGCCTTGAGAATTCTGAGGCTGGAAAGAGTATATTGAATCAGGCAATCAAGGGAGTTTCACAGAGGAGATGGCCTTTGAGCTGAGTCTTCATGGATTCCGATGTGTCCTCATGAAGAGAAAGAGTTCTCTAGGCGGTTAGAAGGAACAGCATGGACAAGGCACCATGAGCACTTCATGCAATCAGGAAGTGGAGGACCCAAGCTCTGTCCAGCATGAGCTGTGTGGGAAAGAATATTGGGAAGTTAGCCTAGAAGACCAAGGTTGACTGAGGTCGTCTTATAGGAGAGCTTGAATGCCAGGTGGGGAGGTCCATGTTGGACTGGGACAGCATCAAAGGGATTTTCAACATGGCACTCCCAGCACCTGGAAGCCCAGCAAATTAGAAAAGGTGGTGAGACTGAGCCATGAGCTGGGACCATAGTCCAGGGGAAGAACATCAGTGGTGTTGGGAACCATGGGCAGAAAGAAACAGGACAGGAAAAATGTGGTGAGACTGGAATCTGTGAGACATGAAGGTTGGCTTGATGACAGAAGCAAGAACTCAAAAGAATGGTCAACTTTTGAATCCTGGTAGAAATTTAAGCACAAATTGGAAAGCCAAGAGTAGTAATGGGGTTGGTGGTGAGGCAGTGCTGCATTGTTCTACATGGTGAACATGAGGTATCTGGGGAGCACTCAGATAAGAGATCTGGAAAGTTCTGAACAGACAGGAAGAGAAGCAAAATAAGGCAGCATTCCAAAGCATTTCAAGATAGATGGAAAATGCTCTTTCAGACAGATGGAAAAGCATTTGGGGTATGACTCAGGAATGTGTTTAGTAGGCCTTAGATGAGGACAGAGTGTGCTTGCAGGACAGAAATCACTGGTGGTTACGTGGCTTTAAGTGAAGACCTTGCCTCAGTTTCTCTACCTTAGAGTGGGGATATATATTTCAAGCCCCATACCATTTACTGAGCACCTGCTATATGCAGACCACATTATTCATTACCTGTAATCCTGCCAGGAATGTGCTCCTATGCCAGCTGTCCAGATGAGCATGCCACAGATGGAAGAGGCTGGGTCCCTTGCCCCAGGCCATCCAGCTAGTAGGAATATTAACATGGATATGTCTGGTTCCCAGGTCAAGTTCTTTTTCTATAGGAAGCTGTCTGCTAATACTGTCACAGCTGTGGCCTTCAGGGACTGAGACCCCTGCAGTACTTACTATCAGGCAGCAATGTTGAGGGGACAGATGTCACTTCCCCAGCTTCCCCAGAACAGCCCAGACTCAGCTACCAGCAAGTAGACCTATGCCCAAGTGTTCATGCTTTCATTCTTCTGCTGCTGGATCTGTTTTCAAAAGCAAAAGTCAAAACAGGTTGCCTGACAAGTATAAGCATATCCATTGCAACAATGGGACAGGATATTTGGAATGAAGACTGTCCTAGAAAAGCTAAGATGGAGGTTTGCCATACTGATGTCCCATAATGGAATAGGCTGTGCGTGAAAAATGGTCAGGGATTCCTAGGGGAAATAGTAAGCCGGGAAACACGACGTTCAGTCCTTCATGTCATTAGAAAGCGGCCCCAGAGCCTGCAGGGGGCCTCCCCTCTAACGCACCCATCTCCTGTCTTGCAGTGCTCAGCAGAGTGTGGGGCTGGAGTGCGGACACGCTCCGTGGTGTGCATGACGAACCACATCAGCAGCCTGCCCCTGGAGGGCTGTGGGAACAACCGGCCTGCAGAGGCCACCCCTTGTGACAATGGGCCCTGCACGGGCAAGGTGGAGTGGTTTGCAGGGAGCTGGAGTCAGGTGAGTGGCGGGAGCTGGCTGGGTTCCTCCGTCCCTGGTCAGAGAGCATACACACTGGGGTGTGGGGGGTGGGTGAGTCAGGAAACTGGACTTGGTGTACCCCAGGCATCCTGGGTCTGAATCCCAGTGGTGCTCCCCATGGCCCTGGAGAAGCTGCTTATGCTCTGGAGCCTCTTTCAGTCAGCAGAGTTTCTTGAGCACCTACGATGTGCTCATCTCAGCACCTAGAATATGTCAACGAGCAACACAAATATCCCTGCCCTCAGGGAGTTTATGATCCAGCATGGTTTCTTCATCTGTAAAAGGCTGTTAATGACCGTACTGTGTGAGGTTGTTTTTAGAAGAAATGAAGTGATGTCTCTGAAGAATGCAGCATAGTGCCTGACCCAAACACACAATAAATCGTAGCTGCCGCTGCCATTATTGTCACTAACAAAGCTGGTTTTTGTTTGTATTTGAGTGTCAGAAGCCCACATAGATGTGATCCAGCAATCCTGCTTGTGGGGATATATCCAAAGGAAACAAAACCACTGTCTCAAAGAGGTGCCTGCACTGCCATGTTCATAGCAACATTATTCACAATAGCCAAGGTCTGAAAATAGCCTAAGTGTCTGTTGATAACCTAAGGAAGATGTGGTGTGTAGATATATATTATGTATATATATTGTGTCTATATATAAAATGGAATATATAATAATATGTAATAATTATATGTAATATATAATTTTATATTAATTATATATATAATTATATGTATTTATAGGTTATATAATTTTATATATTTTATAAAATATATATTAATATAATATATTGTATGTATATTATAAACATATGTTATAATATATTAATATATATTTTTATAAAATATACAAATATATGATATATAAAATTATGTATTATATATCACATATGTAATACATGATTTATATTATAATTATATATGATAATATATAATATGTATATATTATATAAAATATGTATATTATATATTGTGTATATGTTGTATATAATACTACATATATAAAATACATATACACATTATGTATATTATATATTATATTATATTATGTTATATATTATATTATATATTATATTTATATATACAATGGAATATTATTCAACCATAAAAAGGAAGGAAATCCTGCCCTTCATGACAACATGGATAGACCTGAAGGACCTTATGCTAAGTTAAATGGGCCAAACAGTAAAAGACTGATACTGCATGGTATGACTTATATGTGGAATTTGAAAAACAAATGAAACTCAGGGAAATGCAGAATGGTGGTTGCCAGGTCTGGAGGTGGGTGCATGGGGAGAGGTTGGTAAAAGGGTACAGACGTTCAGTGATAAGATGACTACGTTCTAAGGATCTAACATATAACACGGTGATACAACTGATCATACTGGCTCAGTGAAATTTGCTAAGAGAGCAGGACGTAAGCATTCTCACATATACACAGAAGAGGCAATTATGTGAGGTGACGGGTATGTGAATTAACTTGACTGTAAGAATCCTTTCATAATGCCTATGTACATCGAATCATCATTTGTACATTTTAAATATATCACAATTTTACTTGGCGATTATAGCTCAATAAAACTGAGGGGGGGGGATAGAAGCAGATAGAGGAAAAATTGTGATTGTTGCCCACATAGAGCAGATCATACAGAATAACTTTAATAAAATAATTTCATTGATCAACTGATTTTTTTCCTCGGCATTCCAAAATTGAATACACCCCCCTAAGAAAATGTGGAAAAGATTGTTCCCTCTTCCTGCCCTGTTCTGATTGCTGTTAGTATTTTGAGTTCTTGGGCCCCTTAGCATTTGGCTCTCAGGGCTGACTTGTTCTCCAAGGACTTTTTGGCTGATGGTCATGATTTACACATTATCAGGACCTCTGGCTCCATACAGAATTTGATTTCTTTTAAGTAGCTCTAAAAACAGGCCCTGAAAAAAATAGACTGCCCCGTCCTTGTAAGCTGATACAACCCCCTTGGAAAGCAGTTTGGCAATAAAAGTCAAGAGCCATAAAAATGTTCATTTGCCTTAACCAGTCACTCCACTTCTGGGGATTCATCTTAAGGAAATAATTAACAGAAGAAAAAAAAAAGTTTTTTTAAATGAGGTGTTCATGACAGCAGGGCACTGAGGGATATTACGGTGTATCCTAACTCATTAAAATATGATGTAACAACAACAGTGATAATTCGGAAGAGGTAGGAAGTACACACGATCCAGTGGCAAGTGAAAACCAGAACATGAAAATAATATGAACTTTATCTCAGCCCCTTTGAAGAATGGGTTTTTAAATGAACAACCCAGGGAAATGTTTTCTTCTCAAATTTCCTTGAATGTTTTTATAATACAAACTGTAAAATATAGAAAATTCAAAAAGAAAAAGAATTTAAGTACTCCCAGTGCTACCCGAGTGGGTATCAGAGTCAGACATACCTGAGAGCAGGTCCCCGCTCTACTTCTTTGGAGTTCTTCTGGTTTGGGGCAAGCAACATGACCCTTGGAGTCTGTTTCCCCATCCAACCATGAGGATGAGAATACCTACTAATATGTATTAGTTCCCTGTTCCCCATGTTTATTATTTTGTCTGCCACCTGTTTCCGTATCACTATTGGCACCAAAACACCTAGGACCCGAAATCCCAAAGGTAATTCGGAGTAAACTGTATTATACCAAATATCCCCAGAAACAAGGCAAAGGGAAGAGTCCTCTGGGAAATTGTGACAGCTTCCACATGGTGAAGAGAAGCAGTGCAATTCAATTTGAATGTCTGCCAATCTCAGAAAAGGAGAAGGAACCAGGATTCAGGCTCTTTTTCACTTGCGGGCCTCCTGGTGACCCCAGGCTTGCTCAGAGAACTGAGAGTGATGCGAATCTGGGGGACGGCAGTGTTCATTTCTGCTCACACTCAAAACATGGAATTTATTGCCTAGTTGCCCAAAGGGTCACAACATGACTGAATGTGACAAGGTTTTAGTTCTGGATTTATAGGGATGTTGGAGCCTGCTGTCCCCTCCCTACCCTGGGAATTTGATGTTATCCCCAAAGAAAATGAAAAAGGGCATGCTTATGTACTGGAACTAGAGTGAAAATAAATGTTCCTTCCGTCCATGTGGTTTGATTAGTAGTTGGTACCTGGAGCACTCCACAAGCCTGGTGACAGTGAACTATCCAGGGTGGACATGGAGCCCAAACCATACCTAGCAGAGCTCTTCCCTGGGACTTTTGATGTAGACCCAAGGGAGGAGATTCCCTGGGAAGTTGTGAGCCCAGGTGCTGGCAGTGGCCTTCTTGAGGCTTGCAGAGAAAGCCAGCCCAAGAGAATGAGACCTATCAACTTTAAGGAGTCTTTTCTCTATCTGGCACCAAAGTAGCCCAACTACTACTCCTAAGATATTCTGTCAGTGTCTAGACTGGTGCCTGAATTGATGCACAGCTGTTTCTTTTCTTCCCTGCCAACTTTGGGTTTACTTCACTTTGTAGACTGTCTTTGTTCTGGGGGGGTCTTTCACAGTCTTGACCATTGGGAGCAGCCCTCTTGTCTGCCTGTCGGTCTGGATTTATTTTCAGTGGCATCTGAGCAAATATTTCCACTCTCATCTTGGATCAGTGATCCACCAGAATACAACTACAGGAATTATTCAGATGTAGAAACACACGTAATTGCTACCACTGCTCAGTGGAAATAGTTATGTCTGTTAAATACCATCTCTGTCTTCTACACTTTTCTTCTATAAATTCTATGAACTATATTTTCTTTGATATTTGTTATATTTGATACTTATCAGATATTTACCTGATAAATTTATATGATAGTTATTTATCATTGTTGATTTTTCACCTGGTATATCTTTGTCAATTTTTATGTATTTTTTAAGATATGTCTTTTGCATGCAGGACTGTTTTTATCTTTAATTTTACCCAATCTGCAAGTCTGTTTCTTGATTTTAACCATTCACATTTATTGTAATCACTTACATGCTTGGACTTTTCCCTGCCATCCTAATTTGTGTTTCTAATTAGGAAACTTTCTTGGTCTGTTTCTTCTTTCCTTTTCTGCACATGTGCACAGATCAGGTTTCCTTAATTCCATTTTTCCCCGTTAACATTTTGGAAGTTATAAATCCAATTTTTATTCACTTTGTGATAACACTCAAATTTTTAGCACAGAGTTTTAAACTTTCATGTTTCTATCTGTGTCAAGCTATCAGCAATCACATTTTACCCCAAAAGCCTTAAGTCTTCATTTACTTACCTCCATTTTCTTAATCCACAATATCTCCAAAAAGATGCTGAGATCATCTGAATCTAGCTCCATATTAATGTTAATTAATTTTATAGAAAATACTGATTTTGGTTTTAAAATAGCTGTCTCCCCTCCAAAGTTTTTTTTTTTTGTAATATTATTCACATAACATATAATTCACCTTTTTTAAAGTTTATAGTGCAGTGGTGTTTAGTATATTCACAAAACTGAACAACCATCACCACTGTCTAATTCCAGAACATTTTCATCATCCCCCAAAGCCCCTTTATCCCTTATTAACAATAGCTCTTGCAAACTCTTCTGCTTTGTGTCTTTCCTGGTTGTGTCTGCTTCCTGGTTCTTTTTCATTTAATCAGAGACCACTAGTCAGTAACAGGATCACGAGTGGTAAGTTTCTGAACCCTTGAACATCTGAAAATGTCTTCTCTTTGCCCTTTGATAGTAGGGGCAGATGCCTTTATGTCCCCCTGCCAGTCAGGCCAGCCCAGCTGTTCCTGGTCAGTGCCTTAGCAGCTGATCACTGTCTCACCATCCCAAGGCCTCCCTCCTGTTCTTCGTATTCCTTCGTGCCTGAAGCTCTAGAACTGCTTCCTCTCTGCTGGGCAGCCTCTTCTCTGCATTTGAACTATGATGTGCTCCTTCAAGTTAATCCCATCTGCCTTTCACCATTCAAATATTCCCCATAATTTCTGGTCCACCAGGGATGAATGCCCTTTCCCATTTTCAAATGCTATTTCATGCACACATATCCCCCCGCCCCACCCACACATCCATTCACTTGTTCCTAGTGCACATATTCTGCCATTTCTGGGCATTTAGGGTGGAAGTCTGAGATATGTGCTTATTCTCTCTTAACTGCCTAATCTCTTAGGGGTTTGTCAAAATAGCAGAAAATAGCTTCAGGTTTTGTTCAAGGCTTGTCGTCTACTATTCTGCCAAGCACTCAGTACAGATACAGACCCCCAGAGCAGTCAGGGGTCTTTCATGTCAGGTTTCCAAACCCCCATTTTGCAAGTGAGATAGTGGATACGTAGGAAAGTGCAGTATCTTGGCCAAAAAAGCAGAGCTATTTAATGACGATGTCTGGACTAGTTTCCACGTCTCCCATTCTCCCCCTGCTGCCCCCTGGATCCTTAGTACACACTCTCACCCCCGCTGCAGGGGAGGCCAGGCCTTTTCCTGGTGGCCGGTCACCCCTCTCCTACCTCAGTGCTGTCATGTCCACAACTTTTGGAAGAAAAGGACAAAACATGAATACACCCCCAAATCAATCACTAACTCACTTGGAAGAAAAGAAAAACAAACCAAGAAGACTTGTTCTCCAGATGTCTTATGAAGACCCCGCCTTCCAAAAAGGGCACCAAGTGGAAATTGCTGCAGGGATGCTTATTAAGTCCTGTGTGACTAATAGACCATAGTCTATTGGTTTGGGGTTTACCTTTTCCTTCTTAGATATGTGTGGTTTTTTCCCTGTTTTGATTTGACAGTGTTCCTGTCTATGGACCGCAAAGCTAATGTTAAGGGTTTCAACTAAAGAAATTGTTAGAGGCTTTTGTAAAGATAGTAGATTATTTAAGATTTCTAGAAATACTGGATCACAGCTTTAAAATGTTGTAATCATAAAGTATTAAGAGTAAACCAGACATGAACAGGAAACATATTGCAAAGTAATCGATATTAAACAGAATAATTTGTGAGAAGTTATACACATCATGTTTCTGTAAACTAACAAAACACGCCAACACGTGTAATTGTCTGACCACCCTCTTTGTGTGACTATACTTCCAAGCTTCCCACCAAGCTGGGAAGGGAGAGGCTTGGACTCCACAGTCAAAGGCTTCCTGCCGGCCACCTGTTGGGAGGGGAGGACTCACCATAGGGGAAATTGTCCCCACTCTGGGATCCTCCCAGCTGTGGGTGTCCCAAAGAATTTTAATATAGCCCCTCGTCCACAAGTGTGTGGGCTCTGAGAGATTAATTCATTTGCAGATCAACCAGAATGATAGTTCATTGTTTTACAGTGAGAAGTTTCAGAATCTACTGGAAAAGAACCAGATTGATAGGCTGATGTGTCCCTCTCTGTGTGCCAGGACAAGGGGGCGTCTAAAGAGGTGGTCTGAAAGAAATTATGTCAGTCTCCCACAGAGGGTACCATGATCTCACTGACCAGCATCCTGGCACTGTGATAACTCAGGGCACCCACTCTCCATTCCTGACACAGAGCTCTTAGGAAAACTGGCATCCTCTTGTGACATCTTATCCAGTAACATTTTCCAGGTGTCCCTGGGCTTGTCCTGACTGAATTGATGATAAAAAGCCCTCATAAACATCCCTTGATGTTCTTGTCCCCTTTCCATCATGTGACATGCATCCTTTTCTGATGTTTCTCCAGTGTTCCATCGAGTGTGGGAGTGGGACCCAACAGAGGGAGGTGATTTGTGTTAGGAAGAATGCGGACATCTTTGAAGTACTGGACCCCTATGAGTGTTCCTTCCTGGAGAAACCCCCCAGCCAGCAATCGTGCCACCTCAAGCCTTGTGGGGCCAAATGGTTTAACACAGAATGGAGCATGGTAAGTCATGGTGTTCTCAATAGAGCTTGCCTTAGTACATCATTCATCTGCTTTCCTCCCAGAGACAGCCAGAGCACCTACTATGTGCCAGAGTGACCCACTCTAGACTGTCACTTTCAGGGCACCTCTGAACACAGCCTGCTTGTTGGGAGGTTAGGACCATCTTGATCTCTAAACTGTAGAGACCATGAAGCCATGAATCTCAGCCTCAGTGTGCGTAAGAATCAACTGGGCTCTTGTTTGAAAAGACGAGTTCAGGGTCCACTCTAGCTGAGGAATTTGCATTTTTAACAAGCTCTTGAGGTCCCTTGGATGCCGGTGTCCTTGGGCTGCATTTTGAGAAATGCTGTTGCAGCAGATAATGGCTGAAGGGATCCAAGGATGCTCTTGGGAAGACTGCGTCGTGCGGCGGTCTCAAAAAACTCACTGAAGGAATTTCTGTCAGGCCTCGGAGACCTGTGTGTGTGTGTGTGTACTTTTTTCCTAATCCTGTAGACATTATAGATTGTAGATTATGGGACTGATCCTGTTTTTCTCTTTGAATTGGCCCCTTGGAAACTCAGAACCAAAATTGGGGCCCATCTCTAGGAGAGAGTTTATCAGACCTTACAGAGTGGATTTTGTATGCCAGTGTGCCCCGGCTTTTCCCTCTCTTTCTTATTTTTACCTTCTTTTTTGCTCCACTAGTCTTACCTCTTTTTCCTTAAATCTTACAAACCATTAGATATTTCTTAAGACCCCTGAAATATTTTCTGTGAAAAGGGAGGGTAATCTGTAAATGAGGAGACAGAGAAAGAGCTAATTAAGGAACAAAATTAGGGAAGTAGGTAATTAAGGAACACAATGGGAAAGGATGCAAACAGGAATAAAAAAATCTTTTTCCAAAAAATTCCTGAGATAGAAAACTGCCTAAGGCATCACTGCTGGTGATACAATGAGAGGACACGTGAGGGGGCGGCAGAAGGTTCATTCTGCCTTTTGTCCCTGAGGATCATCCAGCAGGGCCCGTAGGTGAGGCCAGAATAGAGGCCAAAGCCTTCCTCAGAATCATGCAAAGGGGATAAAGAGGATTTTGCTTATGAAATATATTTATAAAAGCTGTATGTCTGCTCTAATGATAACAGCCTTTGGGCACAGGGTAAACCACACCTCAGAGGCAAATGGGAACAAAGCAGGTGTTGAGTTTGAAACGTGTTTTGTCGACTTCTGGGAAATGGAATTCAATCATTTTGATGTTGGCCACAGCTTTTGAGAATGCAGAACAGATCACTATATTATTTTGCCTTTCAGTTTAGAGGGTGTAGAAAGGGCCAGAGTTCACCAGGCCAAGTCAGAAGAGAGGAACTCCCAAAACACCTGACTGGAAATAATCCAGATGTGCCTCCGCAGGTTGGTGGGTAAACAAACTGTGGTACACCCCCAACCACAGGAGAGCACTCAGCAACAAGAGGAAATGAGCTGACATGGTCGAACTTCATATGCACTTTACTAAGTGAGAGAAAGACCCCAAAGCTACATATGGTATGATCCCATTCATATATTCTGAAAAAGAGGCCACCCCATGGGCAGAGACCACATCGGTGATGGCCAGAGGGTGGGGTGGGATGCGTCTCACTACAGAGGGGCACCACAAGAGGATCTGCATGTTTGACGAAACTCTTGGATCTTATTTGCAGCAGGAAATACACAATTCAGTGAACTTGTCGAAAAAGAACTGTGCGCCACCACAAAAAGTGGCTTTTTCTGTATGTAAATTGAAAAAAAAATACACTACAGAAAATATGAAATAAATGATTATGACAACAGCATAGACAGTGATGGAAGTGAGATCTCTTGAATATGCCTCGTTTTATAAATTTGAGTTTCAAGCCAAGTAAACTTTTATTTAGATAATTCTAAAAATTAAATTTGAGAAAAGCAACCCCTAAAAATGGAAAATATAGTGAAACAAATTAACCTAAACACATATCCAGTTGACAACATGGGCACGATTGCCAGGTGGCTTTAAAATGCATTGCTTTGGGGCACCTGGGTGTCTCAGCCTGTTAGGCATCCAAATCTTGATCTCAGCTCAGGTCTTGATCTCAGGGTCATGAGTTCAAACCTCTGGTTGGGCTCCACACCCAGGCTACTGGTTGGGTTCCAGTAGTGGAGCCGACTGAAAAAAAAAAACAAAAACAAAAGCAAAACAAACAAACAAAAAAACAGTAATTTGACTGTCCATCCCTACGGACCAAGAGAATTGTCAGAAAATGTTGACACTGTTTGCAGGGATCATATTTGTAGTGAGAGTGTTGTAATTATAATTGGAGACAGTTGGGTGGATAGTGTGTGATAAAGTAAATAAGTAATTTACTTTATGATAATATATATATAATAGTTTATATGATAATATGGTAGTATCTTTCCATTTTCCCCAGTATCCATGAGAAATAGGATTCCCAAATTAGGAGAATGCAGATACAGGTGAGATAGAAGAGATTTAAATGAAAATCCTGTTTTTCTGAATTTGAATTAGAAACATCAGTATGAACTCACAAATTATCCTTAAAAAAAAAAAAACAACAAACAAACTATTTCCCAGTTTTACCCATTTACCCATTGAAAGCGCCTAGAAACAATGGCTAACCCAGTAGCGAAGGGCATGTCTATCAGCCAAAGAGCTGATTCCAGGTTTGGGACCATATACATACAAATTAGATTAGAGTATCTTTTTACTCCAGGCAGCAAGAAGTTCTCACAGACAATTTAGCTTTTGCCCAAAGGACTCAAGAACCAAGTTTTAGGGTCTCAGACTAGCCACTGAGGAGACATCAGTGAACATCAGTAAAGATAGTAATTGCCATAGATTGAATGAAATACATCCTATGTGTTTAAACCCATCCATTTATAATAAGTGTATGATAATAAAATCAATTAGAGGATCCTCCATTAGGGAAACTATCTCATTGTTCTGAAGACTGGGAAATAAAGGAAAGTAATCAAGCATTTACCCTGTCTTTCCTAAATAACTTGCACCACTGGGTGTACCAAAGAGCAAATCTAGGTAGGGATAGGGGCCGGGAGGATATTAATTTCCTAGCTAATAAAAGAAGCAGCAATGATAGAGTTTTGCCACCATTCTTCAACTACAAGTGAAATAATGGATCTAGACACGACGCATAAGTGGCTGCAGACAGCCCCAAAACAGAGATAACCACATGCATCCAATGAAGCAGACAAAACCAAATCTGCACCTGTTAGGGCCTCTTCTACACCCAACTTCCAATTTACAGGAAATGCAGGGGACAGAGAATGATGTTAAACTGTACAGTGCAGATGCCGTCAGCAAAATCCCGACTGTGGGAAACTACGGGACAGGTGACTCCGTTCCTCCTGACAAGAAAGTATAATGCAGGGTGGGGGGAGGGAGGCAAAGGGGGTGAACCTGTGGATTCAAAAGAGTCCTAAAAGGTCTGTTGACCAGCTGCAATGTGCGGACCTGATGTAGATCCTGATTTACAAAACAAAACGAGACAAAAAAAGTATTAAAAACTTGAGATTCACAGGAGATGTGGAAGTGGGAACTCTGAATGTATTTTTGAAGATAACTTGATTTTTTTGAAGCTATCAAAAGATAATTTTTGATATGATTAAAAGATAATCCAAAGATAATTTTGAAGATAATGTAATTTTGAAGGTAATTTTGAAAACCTATTATTAATTTCCAGGTGTAATAATACTGTTGTGGTAACTTTTTAAGAGTTTTGTCTTTTAGAGTGGCAAACTGAAATGTGATAGAAGAAGTGATGTGTTGTCTAGATTTGCCTCAAAACAGGAGTGGAGTGGAGTGGAGTGGATTCAGTTGGGGTATAGATGGGACACAACTGGCCGTGACTTGATGGTTGTTGACGCTGGTTGATGCGTGAGAGTTTGTTTTAGTATTTAGTCTGCTTGTGAAGATGTTTGAAATTTCCCAGTATGTGCCGCTCCAGTGTGCCGAGCGAATGGACGGCCAAAGCCCCACCTCTCTCCTTTTGTCACCGTACAGTGCTCCAAGAGCTGCCAGGGTGGCTTCCGGGTCCGCGAAGTGCGCTGCCTGTCAGATGACATGACCATAAGCAACCTCTGTGACCTGCAGTTGAAACCAGAAGAGAAGGAATCTTGTAACCCTCAGGACTGTGTCCCTGAAGTTGGTAAGTAGGGGTTCCTATCTCGGAGAGAAGGTACATCCTCCTTAAACCCCAGCGGGTTCCCTGGTATGAAAATGCCAAGCCCATCTGGGTCTCTCCGTGACCTTGTGCACAGTCACGGGGTTCCAGGGGTCAAAATACTCTCAGTGTGATAAGTTTCATAGTTTAAGATGACTGTTCTGGGTGGTGATCCAAGCCACCCTCCAAACTTAAGCGCAAATTGATTAAAGTGGTAATGATTTCAGAGATTGGGTTCCATTATCTTTAAGGCTGAAGTAGTGAGATTTCGACTTTTAATTGTAGGTGCAGAACAGTGGAAGGAAGAAAATTAGTAAGAAAGGTCTAAACCTATTTAGAAGAAAAATGTTAAATAATAATTTAAAATAAGAAAAACTTGGTATAGAACATAATAAGAAATGTGAATGGATAGAGGGACTAATATTCATGGATGGGAACACTCAGTACTGTAAAGAGGGGGCACCTGCTGGCTCCGTCTGTGGACCATGCACCTCTTGATCTTGGGGTCATGAGTTCAATCCCCATGTTGGGTTTAGAGATTACTTAAAAAATAAAATCTTTCTTTAAAAAATTCTGTAAAGAGGATAAAAGAAGGCTCATGAGGCTCAACATATAAAATGCTTAAATATATTGCCTTAACATATACTTGAACACATTATAAAATACAGAAATTAAAACTACATACTGAGTCAGGAAGAGACAGGGGTATGAGTGTTACAATACAGAATTCTTTTATACAAGGGAAGTGAAGTATGACAAAGGCCTAATTTTTAAAATTTTATTTATTTGAGAGAGTAAGAGAATGTACATACACGAGCAGTGGGGAGGGGCAGACATAGAGGGAGAAACAAACTCCTCGCTGACCAGAGAACCTGATGTGGGTGGGGATTGATCCCAGAACTCTGGAATCATAACCTGAGCCAAAGGCAGAGGCTTAACCAACTGAGCCACCCAGGTGCCTAATAAAAGCCTAATGGTAAGGAATTGGGGAGAGGAGAGACTTCCCTCTTTGAATAGATTCAAAGATCTATTTGAAAAAAAAACAAAGCAAAACACTAAATCTTGCTTTATGCCATATATAAACATAAATGCCTAAAGGATTAAAGACTCTTGCGTAGAAAACACACTGTAAAAATACCAGAAAAATATATATCTTGGGGTTAGTTAAGGCTTCGTAAGCTAGACACAAAACTCAGAGGCCTTATTGCTGAATGTAAAAACATAACATAATAAATTAAAAACTTTTGTCCTGTTAAGTACATTGTATTAGTCAAGGTTCTCTAGAATGGATGGGTGGATGGATAAGTGAGTAGGTAGATAGATAGATAATGACCAATTTGTCATAATTTATTATATAGATAGATAATGAATTATGACAAATTGGTTCACACGAACATGGAAGCAGAGCAGTCCCACAACCTACCAGTCATGAGCTAGAGACTCAGGAAACCTGCTGGTGTAATTCAATCTGAGTCTCCAAGGCCTGAGAACCAGGGGAGCTGATGGTGTAAATTTCAGCCCCAGGGGCAGGAGAAGATGACATGAAATGTACAGCTCAAGCCTGAGGCAGGAAAGGGGCAAATTCCTCCTTCCTCTGTTTGATGTACTGTTCAGGCCCTCAGTGAGTGAGGCCCATCTCCCCTGGGGAGGGCCACCTGTTTTACTGGGCCCATCAGTTCAAATGCTGACCCCATCCAGAAGCACCCTCCCAGACGCACCGGGAAATCATGTATCATCTGGGTTCTCCATCCCCGGTAAAGTTGATACATAAAATTAACCATCAGACACATCATAACCCAAGTTGGAAGAAAAGAAGAAAGCAAAAGAGAGGGAGAATGAGCAATAATTGTGAGAAAAATGTGAAACATACATTATTGGAATGTGATACAATCAATATAAGAAGAAAACGTCCAGCCGGGAGCCAGGAGGAAGAAATAGAGAAGTTACCATTCATGCACACAGACGTGTTCCATCTAGATGTCCCCTCCATTGACTTATTTACATTGGCACCAATAATTAGAACTTGATTTAAATGTGGATCCCAATTGTTATGTAAATTGTTTTTAGAAGGGTACACTGTAATGCAACACTGGAAAGAAACATATATAAAGTCGTCTCTTCGCCTCTGGCCAGGGCAAGATAATTAAAGACAGTCAAAATTACCAGAACCTTAGAATTGATTGTACAATTTGCAGAGCTAGGAGTGATTAGTATAACCAGCTCCTGTGTTCTGAAGAGCCATCACTCAGCTGGCAAACATCTCCCCCAGTTTTCTAACTAATATGACGTGAGAGAAATTGTTTATGAGTCTGCTTCTGTCTTCTCCGTTTGTCTATGGTGTCTTCTCTAGGAGAAGGAAAGAAACTACTTAGCTTCCACCTACAGAAAAGTCAATTAAGGAAAAAAGGGAAACAATGGGATTAACAAAATAGAAAATGTAAGCAAAACCTTGGTATTGTTTGGTATGCTTTAGGTTTATACCATTAGAGCGAAAGGTACTAAAAATGTCTAGGCTGAGAGTGGGAGTTAAAAGCGCAAAGTGTATCCCAGACAGTTGCTCCCAGCAAGAATCTGTAGGGACTCAGAAAGCGACCAGGGCTCAGGTGCACATTTGATTATAATGCTAAAGAAGAAAATCAGACTGTTATCAGTTTTTTTTAATCTACATACATTTTTATAATCTTTCATGTAATTCCAAAGAGACATTACTAAATCATCTTACAATTGATAGTATCTTAGAATCAAATAAATGCCATTCAAGCTGAGTTAAATCCCTGATATAGGGGGCGCCTGGGTGGCTCAGTGGGTTAAAGCCTCTGCCTTCGGCTCAGGTCATGATCCCAGGTCCTAGGATCGAGCCGCGCATCGAGCTCTCTGCTCAGCAGGGAGCCTGCTTCCTCCTCTCTCTCTGCCTGCCTCTCTACCTACTTGTGATCTCTGTCTGTCAAATAAACAAATAAAATCTTAAAAAAAAAAAAAGATAGATTCTCTTAAAAAAAAAAAATCCCTGATATACATAGAACTCACTCAAATTAGTTTAAAAAAGGAAACAAAAAGAACCACTGTTCCTCTGTACCTTCCCCTCAGTCTTGCTGTGAACCAAAAAGACAAGCCGTCCAGTGTTGTAAAGAATGAAGGATGGAAACAAACATTATGGAAGAGGCTGAGCTGGTAACCAGCCTCACTAGTAAATAAAAGGGCAAATTTTAAAAATAAGGGCAGTCTGTGTTTTTCCATAAGACTAGAAAACTTTTCTATAAAATAGGGCTCAGTAAATCGTGTAGAATTAATAAATGAATGAACGGTAGAATTTCTTGTAACTCATAAAAATTGGAAGCAGTTACATTTCTACCAGTAGAAGGAAATGGTTAGTTATGTTACTGTACACAGGATAGAATTGATGTCCTAAAAAGAATGTGGTAAAGCTGAATGTTATGATACATAAATGTATTCAGTATATTTGTCAGTAATGTCAAGAAGCAAGCAGATAAAATTTGGTTACTTTCCAAGTTAGTCTGTAAATTCAAGCTATGTTAATCAAAATCTAGACAGGGCTTTCCATTGAAAAATCAGACAGATTGTGTCTGAAGTTTACATAGAAGATCATGGGCAAAGACCCAATAATGGCCAAGGTAATTTTGATAAAGAACAATGTTGGGAAATGTATCCTTCATGTATCAGGACATATTGCACAAAGATAGACAAACCAATGGAACAGAACAGAGTGCCCACAAATAAATCTGAGCATGGTATGGTATATGATACATGGTCAAGGTTAACAGTATGAGTCTGGGGAGGAAACGTGAACATTCAGTGAGTGGTGATGAGATGATTGTTTATCTGTATAGGAAAAAACCAGATTGAATTCCTACTTATCAACACACACACACACACACACACACACACACACACACACACACACATCAATTCCTGGTGATGTGAAGAGAAATTCTTTTTAACTTTTAGAAGAGAATATGGGGAAATAGGCATATTAGTGTAGGGAAGGATTTCGTAAATGAGAAACCAAGTACCAAACCACCAAGAAAAATATTATTATAACATCTATTATATTAAAAATAAACTCTATTAAACAAGTAACACTGAAGCAAAGAAAAGCCACAGGTGTGGAGAAGATATCTGCAACACATCTAACGTGTTGGGGATCAGGACCATTACATGTCAAGAATTTCCAAGAATCATTTGTTTTAAGTCAACTAAATTAGCAAGGGGTCAAAGGATAGGAAAATCAATTTGCCAAAAAGGAAACTCAGGTGGCAAATATACATGTGATGATGTGTGCCAAAAAAGTAAAACATGCAGCATAAGCAAAAGAAAAGCAAAAGCATTCTGTACCACTGACAAAAATATGAATAGTTGCACCCACCCCCTTCAGAGAGCAATCCGGTGAGAGACAGTAGGGTTGTCTATGTACCTAACACCCAAGCAAGACCCAGAGAGGGGGCATGTGTAACGGCTGTGCAAAGGGGCAACGTTGGCAATCGTAAAGAACTAAAAACAGCTAAACTGTCGTGTGGGTGGGAAATGGATCCTTAAGTTGTGGAATGTACGATGGGTACCATTCAGTGATGAAAATGAACTCCCCCTAGAGCAGTCCATAAACGTGAACAAATCACACCAAGTCAATGTTGCCAAGGAATATATACAATCTGCATAAAAAAAAATATTTTTTTCTAAAGTTGAAATGCCACTTAGTGATTAGGGTACCAACGTTTACAGTTCAGGTATAAAGACAGGATTGGGGATAATAAACACCCCACGTGGGGCTTGATTACGTTGCGAGTGAAGAGAAAAGGCGAGGGGGTCACCGACCCAACTCTGGGAATTGCGTCTATGCGGGTGAGCAGCGAGCATTGAATTATATTCTCTATACTTAATCCTGTCACCATGTTTAAAAGACAAGTAAAAGGGCGGCTCTTGGCCCAGCCTCCACCTCCCATAGGTAATAAAGCAGGACCAGGACGGAAACCGCATCCCACGCCCCTTTTCCGCCCACGGGCCCCTGTTGGCGCTGTGCTCAGAGGGTCTTTTCTGTTCTCTGTTGCTGCAGATGAAAACTGCAAGGACAGGTACTACAACTGCAACGTGGTGGTCCAGGCGCGACTCTGCGTCTACAACTACTACAAGACCGCCTGCTGCGCCTCCTGCACCCGCGTGGCCAACAGGCAGGCGGGCTTCCTGGGGAGCAGATAACAGCCCCGCCCCCACGCTGCAGCAGGGGAGCGGGTCAGGGAGGGGGGGAGCGGTGGGGCCAGGGGCTCCCGGGTACCACCCTCCCCCACCCACCCCGCCGTGCTGCCAGCGGGCGTAGTCATCACCCCACCTTCCACAGAGCGCATCCACGTGGGGCCCTGGGGCCAAGTCACGGTTGTCCTTTAGCAACGCCTTAAACCGAGGATCCCTGCTTGGGAACCCTGGCACGTGGTGCTGTGCTCTCTGAAACCTAAGCGGTGCGGGTGCTTGGAGCTCTCCGTCAACTCCCCTTCCAGCACTTTCTAAGTCAGCAGGTGGGCCCTAATGGCGCACTGCCTCATCCGTGGTACTTATGGCCTTTTCAACATCGGGGTCCCTTGGAGAGTCCAAGAGGTGGGTCCCACCCCGGAGCCCTGTGGAGCCTCGCTGAGACACCTGCTTCCCATTCTTACCTCAACCCCATGGTGCCTATTTTCATGCTCAGAGACATTACGCTTTTTCCTGCCTTGTGACAGAAATATCTCCTGTCAAATAGTGCTTTCTTATTTCGCAGGTGTATTCACAGATAATAGATCATTAGCAGCTCACAAAGCCCCAGAATGGGAGCCAGGGACTGAATCACTATCCCCATTTTACTGACAAGGAAACGAGACGTGATTTAAGGAATTGACCTGCCTGGTATATTGACCTGTGGGGTGGCAGGGTTGAGTCTGACCACACAACTCACCCGCCCAGAAGCCTTAGGTCTTCATTTCAGACCAAGCGACTAAGAAATTTCCCCACTCAGTAATCAGAGCCCAGCTCTAGAATTCCTTCCTCTGGCCAGAGGTCAAGAGGGTCCCCATAGGACTCCGTTGTTTTATCATGTTTCTTTCTGTTTCTGTCTTCCTGGACAAGGTCACAGATACTGGTTACAGGACTCTGTGCAGGTTTTGTTAAACCCCATCCTTAAAGGAATTGTCCTTGACACAAGAAAGCCTTTGGGGTAGCAAGGTGATGCCTGATACTCTGATTCTGTTCATTCCCCAGTGATATGTGCCCCCCAGGGAACTGCACGCCAGGGGCCCTCTGGCTACAGAGCCTGTCCGGTCTCCGTGCCCTGGGCTCTCTCGAGCCCACAGCCCCCTTCCCTGGGCTGTGCGCCACCCAGTGGAACGTCTAACCGACCTGTCTCAGCATAAAACCTGTGTTTATATTAGAAAGTCTCCCTTTGGTTTTTCCAAGTTGCTTTATGGATTTCTGTTTGTGATTTCTCATTCCTCCCTCCCACCACCCCCCCTCCCGCCACTATGACTCGTGACCTATATCCCACCGTCCCAGACTCAGCACTAAGATCTGCATTCATGCCACTAGCCGGTGAGGGGGTTGGGGGGAATGGGCTCCTCCAGTGACAGCCACAGTGGCTGGGTCTTCCCCAGTGCCCTTCACCTAACTCTGCAGTTCCAGGGTCCTCGGGGTACAAGGGGGATACAGTGGGCATTGAAAGGTAAACGATCTGAAAAGTCAATTAAAAGGAAAGAGTAGGGGTGTGTGTGTGTGTGTGTGTGTGTGTGTGTGTGTGTGTGTATATACATACACACACACATACAGTTGACCCTTGAACAACATGGGGGTTCAGGGTGCAAACCACCCCCTGCAGAGATGAAAATCCATGTATAACTTTTGACCCCCCAGAAACGAAGGAAATGTCATGAAGAAAATCACAAGGAAAAGAAAATACAGGTACAGGGCTATGCGGTTATTTATCAGAAAAAAAAATCTCTGTATACGTGGGACCCATGCAGTTCAAACCCATGTTGTTCAAGGGTGATTTTATATATGTGTGTATATATATATACATATGTATATATATGTACATTCTTTCACCAATTAAGAAAAGATCGCCAATTAAGAAAATTAAGGAACTATCAGGCTAAACAAGTTGTAAGCGTTCAGGAAATCTGCTCTATTAAGTCCTAGGTCAGTTTCTCTTTTAAAGCATGCCTCGATTCTTAGTAACAGAGTTTCCTCTGTGAGGCCTTTAACCCCAAAACCTGCTAATTTGGTGATCCCTTGAAGTTTCTGGGAGGAGTAGCTCCGGCCTAATCTGACACACTGTGTTCGGTTCTCACTACCCTTGGCTTTCAGAAATTCTATCTGGCCTTTCCATGGCTGTTCTTGAAGCCAGAGAGCTAGGGTCTTGTCTCAATGAGTTGAAGAATGAATCTCTCGGGAAAGAGGAGTGGGTAAAGCAGTATAGTTCTATTAAGCAAGGGTACAGAGAAAGCTCTTAGGAGCAAGAGGGGTCCGGCCAGGGTTGTCAACAGGGGCCTCTGCTAACTGTTTATTATTATTTTTTTTAGAACTGACCAGGGAGCTGTTGGCCTTATCAGTCTTGTGACATCTTGGTTTGCATAAGGACTAGTGATAATATCTTTAGTGGCTTACTTGTTTAGGGTCAGGTTTTTCTTTGTTGGTCACAGGTGACAGTCATAAAAGAAGAGCCCTGCCCCCCACCCCCCAGGGCAGGGTGGTCTGGTGTGTTCCCTTATCTCTGGTTTCCTTACACCCCGGCATTTAGGGGATTTCAGTGAGCCGGATCATGAAGCCCCCTCCCTCTCTCTCCCTACCTAGCCCCGCCCGTCCTGTACTAATTCTTCTCTTCTTGGAGAGCCCAGCCACCATTTTACAAAAGCACGCCCATCTCTCCTCCTTTGTACACAGCGTAACTTGTGCAATATGGCAGAGACCCTGATTCCCTTGCCCACCAAATACAAAAAGACCAGAGAAGCCAAACGGATGGTTTCTGTCCCGTGTATTCTCTCTATCTCACCACCTACTTTTGCTTTTTGCCACAAGAGAAGAGTTACTTCTATGTAGCTGCTCTCAGATCTTACTGAACAAGCCACTCATTTGAAGGATTCCTTGGAGGAGGTTTTCTTAACATGCTGAAGGGAGGAACAAGATCAGTGGGAGCAGAGAAAGGCTGATTTTGGCTCACATTGGGGGAAAACCTTGAGCGATCCAGCCTGCCCAACAGAGGTTTGGGCCACCCTACATGGGCAATGGCTCTGTCTGAAAGGGGTCGTCTTCATCAAGTAGGAGTTCAGCATCCTGGGTCCTTCCAACTCAGGATTCTCATGACAGCTGTGTCAATGCTGGCTTGGTCTCTTTGACATCTCTTTGTGCCCTGTGGCCCCCAAATGTTACCCAAGAGTTGTTTAAAAAGGACAAGATCATCCATGAGAATGACCATCCCGCCAATGGTGGAACTGAGTCAGAGCAATTGTGTTTGTGCCGCATCTTTGGGAGGAAAATGTACCCAGACTAAGGGTCTTTTTTTCTCTTCCAACAAATAGTTGAGCTGTTCTTGGATTCCATTCATCTCTGGAAAGGCTATAAATTACTAGAACAGGCATTTTAATGACTTATCTGTCTTCGAATTCCAGTCTCTGCTGACTTCCTGGTTTGTTATGTCAACATCTAAATGCCTTTGTCCTTCGCACAACACGTCTGAGAAGGTCCCTCAGTGTTCCTAGGGAGGAGCAGATTGGAGGAATGCTCACCTTCTGACGACTCTCCCCACAGAGATGCCTCTTTCTCCCTTCCTCCACACCCTTTCTTTGCCATGATCTACCATCTCTTTCTCAATCCCCCTCCATGTTCCCCTAACCGGCCACTTCCAGAATTGGAAGTTACATTTTAATGCTGTTTTTCTTTTTTCTGTGTCCTGGATCACCTCATTCCCGACTCCAGATTTTAAAACTTGATGAACTGAAGGTGTTACCTGTTTTTTTTTTTTTACAAAAGTCAACAAAGCTCCAAGAAAAAAGAGTTGGCTATTTTACTTTCACTTATTGGGAAAGGAAAGTGTGCCCCTTGCACCCAGATAAAGGTAATTCAGTGTGCTCCAGCCTCCCACCCCTCACTGGGACTCACATTTTTCCCCCATAGGAAAGAAACAGCCCAAGACACAGTAAAGCAAGCTTGTAAACCCGGCCACTAGAGGGAGTCGGGAGTCCTCTGAGTTCATTAACGGTGGGTCTGGGACAGCTGCACTCTGGCAGAGAAATCCAGATAATACTAGTATCTTCTTACACCTTCTTGGTTCTCTCTCTCTCTTTTTTTTTAATTGAGGCATTTCAGAATTTGAATATGGACTTCCTAATGTAGAAGACATAAATATAAGTGGCAAAAAGAAATATGGCTTTCCTTAAAAAAGGCTAAAAAAAAATCAAGCCTGGAAGAACCTATATCAGCCTGGCAGGTGGAGGCCAACAGTTGACGCTTGCCATAGAAAACATCCTTAATACGGCTCTGATGGGAAGTTGAACACCTTACTGATGAAATGTGGAGGACATGAAATTAGGGACAGTGAGGGTTCAGGATCCAAAGAGATCTGGGAGACTAGACCAAAATCCCCCCCACACACACACACAAAATGAGGCACTTAGGCTACCTAAGGAGAAAACATTAGGGAGGGTCCTGCCACACTGGGGTTGTGATTGCCGGAACCACACCTGAAGAACACTGGTGCTGGGTAGCATTCAGATGAGCATGCCCAGTCCTGACTAGGGCTGTAGACAGTTAGAAATGGTGGAGAGGACTTCATGAGAAGTCCATTAGCCTGGAGAAGAAGAGGGGTGGGATGGCACTCTGAGATGGGCTAGCACTATGAGAGCAGCCCTGAGGCCAGGAGATAAAAGCTACAGGGAGACAGACTTTAGCTCCTGCAGAAGAACCAACTTTCCACAGGTGAAAGCCCCCGAAGGTAGAGGGCAGTCCGGTCACTGGTGGTCTCAGCGGAATTACAATGGCCATTAGAGGAGCTGGAAAGGGGAGTCAAGCACCCAGCTGAGTCAATATGACCGAAGGTCCCTTCTGAGTTTAGGCTTTAGTGACTCTGTCAGTAGAACAGCTTTGAGTGATTTGCCTCGTCTGAGCCACTAACCATTTCTGTGTCCGCCATTTTGATCCCAGCATTGCACCCCTCACCTGAGGTGAATGGGGCCTCAAATCTCAGAACCACTAGCAGCTTGGCCAGAGCTGCCCTGTTGGGTCC